AACAATTATATCATGTTAGCGTTAAAAGATTTTAAAAATTAACAACAAATAAACGGAAAGTGAAAAAAAATGCACCGTGGGGCTACTTTGTGCAAAGTTTCATTCGTTTTTTTTTTTCGACAGAAAAATGGTCAGACGTTATAAAAAAATAACTGGAACGAGAAACTACCGTGATTACACTTTAGAAAAGCTGCAACAATGTTTGCAAGCAGTTGCTGGTGGTATGTCGATTGCAGAAGCTTCTCGGAAGTACAAATTCCACAGAAATACTATCTCTAATAAAATTCACAGGAAACGCGTGAAACGTGCTGGTAAACAATTATTTTTCTTCTACAAATATTTTTCTAATGAATTAATCAAACGATTTAACACATAAAAATATATTTTATAGGACATCAGGTGATTTTGACAGAAACTGAAGAGCAAGTTCTGTCATGTTCATTCAAGCATGTTATGTTCAAATTTATCAATATTATAAATGTTAATGAATATGTAATAATTATTATTTTTGAAATTTCATCTATTTCAATGTTCAAAAATATATATGGTTTCCTTTTGTTTAAATTCAAATGTTTTGAAATAAACATTCTTTTTAAGAAAAAATGTTTTTTTAACGCTGAAAATTATTTTCGAACTATTATCTTTACATATCTTGATGTTTTTGTTATTAAAAATGTCAACAATTAACTTTTTTAACAATTTTATATCAATATTTTGCTAAAAACATGATTATTAAACTGAATTCCTATTGCTGCACAAAGTAGCCCCACTTGGTGGCTACTTTGTGCAAGGTATGTTTTGACTCATTATTTGTAAATATTACATACAAATAAGCCAATATTGATCAAATTCACTCGTCTGAGTCCAGTTATGAATATAATATCGATAAATTCTCTCCTGTAAAAGTACTAATGAAAATTGTCAATGCTATATTCTACAATCTGTAAATAATATAAAATATTTAGGACTATATATCGATTCCAATTTGAAATGGAAAACACATATTAACAATAAAGAATAAAATTCATTTTAATTTTGTAAAAGCACTCTACTACTCCTGGTTTTATTCTTTAATTAATTATGGCGCAATAATATATGGCGGCGAATATAAAACTAATTTATTTCCTTTAATCTCAGTTCAGAATAAATGCTTCAAGATTCTCTAAATATAAATAATTCAAGTATAACTACTACCAATATATATACAAGAATTAACCTATTACCATTTCGCCGTAAATTATTTTTTCGTATTTTACTTTATTTACACAACATTAAATTAATATGCAAATTAAAAACTATTGTGTCTGAAAGGAGACCAACTGAAATATATGAGATTCCCCACTTTATAAAAGAAATTTCACGAAAACAGTTTTTTTTACTAAGCACCTAAATTATATAATAAATTACCATTCCAGTTGCAAAACATCCAAATATATTCTTCTTTTAAGCGTGCTTTATTTCAATTTATGATGAACATTGACGATATAGATCTCTATTTTTCACTTCAAAGGAAGCATTTGATTTTTCATACCAGTCTTGTGCCAATCCAAATGAGTTTCCTATATTACCTTTGTTATTTTTTTTTATATAGTTTCATGTATTTTTTTTCTATTATTACAGTGTTCAACAATATATGATGTCTTATGATGAGCAAAATAATTTATGACTGTAATATCCCCCCCCCCTTTTTTTTTCCTTTTTTTTAAATTTCTAATTTAAATTTATTGTATTACTTTTCTTTGTCGCCTGGAAAAGATTTTCCTCTTGACGACGAATATATATTCTTTGTATTTATGTGTTTGTTTTTGTTCCCAATAAAGTTGTATTAGTTTGTTTAAAAAAAAAATTTACTAAAGTTTGAATTAACATAGTTTTTTTACATGTCAAAGTTCAAAAACTGCGAAATCCCACACAAAGTAGCCCCACATGACGGTACCTCTTCTATATTTATTTTTAAGACTATTTCTCTCAAAGATTCTAAAAATATATATTAAAGGAATCAACAAACGTAAAATTACTTCCTATAACCACAAAATCTCTTGATAAATCAAACTGGTGAGTAACATTTCGTCGGTGAATTTTTGAATCTCAACAACACATCTCGAAATACGTATTTACGAAAATGGACACAGTTCGAAACGTGTGTTTACGAAAGTGGTCACAGCTCGAAATGGGTATTTACAAAAATGGACTCAGGAAAAAATACGCCTTTTCAGTTTTCCATCCAAATTTAACAACTAAACAGGGAATTAGGCTCTTACTTTTCCTTACTTATTTAAACTCTAAGAATAATCAATACGGGGGCAAATTCCCGAACTTCGGGGTTGTGGTAGCTAGGTATATTACAGATGTAAATTTCCAGACGACGATTTCGTATTCAAATTTCTTAACTTAATTTTTAAAACTCTACGAACCTTAAAAATCTAAATTCTTACAGCGTCAATTTATTATCACTGTTATAGTTTTATAGCACACGTGGCAACTTTGTAAATCTGTTAGCATTTTCAAGTCTTTTCAAAAAAGACTAATTTAATTAAATGTGCCAAGTGATTTATACAAATGTACACACACACAAGACTACAGTACGAATTAATTGGGATTCATAAGTTTATTATTTTAAAAAAAAATACTCATAAAAGAAGTTTCAAAAACGGAAGTTCGTAAACATTCTTTTCTAGCTGATTTAAAAAACCCTGGCAATTAGATGAGGTTCCTTTGTTAGAATTTCATATTAAAAGATTTTACAAACATTTTCTTTCTTTTTTTGAAATAATGCAGAATTAAACAACATAATTTTAAAGATTTGTGATTTTGCACTTGACGATTTCCTGAAATGTATTAACATAAGTTACGATAATTTTTTACATGCACTGAAATATTTCCAATTATCAATGAAATGTCTGTCCGTTTTGTATACCATTGTCCATAGGGTGTCCTAAATTAGACAAAAGGTTTTTAAAAATTTATAACAGAAAAATGGTCAACCTTAAAATAAAATAAAAATTGCAGCAGAATTCATGCGACAGAGCCTAGAAAATCTTTACAAAAAATTTACTTTAATTTCAAGAAATTTTCAGAAGATGGAGCTTAGAGTAACCATTCTTTAAATCAGATAAGGAAATTTAAGATCTTTAAATATCAAAATTTCATTAATGTGTAAAAATCACTATACAATATTTTCGAAATTCCCCCCAATCACAACTCATACTCAGAGATTGAAATTTTTATACATCAAAACGTAACTGTAACTGAAAAAATGATTTAAAAAATTTATTAAGAAAAAAGGATTTAACAACGTTACGCGTCAGAAAATCCTCTTTTTTTTTAATTTTGAACCGTTTTCTTAGTTTAAATTCTTGAAAACTGTGAGTCCAGTGTTTAGGACACCCTTTGTGTGTACATTTTTCCTTCTCATTATACTTTTCCATTTATTAAATTGTCTATGTTTTTCTTTTAATGCACCTTCGTGTTTGTAATAAAGATGTTTTGCACTGCAGCTCAGTCATTTTTCCTTCTCTTACATTTTCTTAGTATCTTATTAGGTACTATAAAATTAACGGGAGAATAATATTTACATATTAGACACTACAGTGCTGTAGTACTAGGACCAATTTTCCAAACCTTAACGCAGTAAAAAAGTATAGGGACCGAAACAAATTTTATTTTCATGATATTTGGAGGAAGGTTCAGGAAATTATCATATCAATAAAATATTTTTTTAAATAAATTAATTACATGGTATTTCTTTTCGCCATATTTGCAGGAAGATTCGGACATTTATTATATCAATAAATGCTTTTTGAAAAGAAAAAAAAGAAAAAAAATTAATTACATGATAGTTGCCTTTCGCTATAATAACTGGAAGATTTATGCACGCATCATATCAAAAAACGTTTTTTTTCTTTTTAAAAAAATAATAAATTCATTACATGGTATTTACCTTTCGCCAAATTCGGTGGAACATTCAGACATTTAGTAAATCAATAATTGCTTTTTTTTTTTAAGTAAATTCATCACGAGCTGGTTTCTTTTTGTTATATTTGCTGACTAAAAAAAAGCAAAATTAAAAAAAAAATTTAAAAAAATAAAAATAAATAACTAAATAAATATATANTATATATATATTACGAAAGCGTAGCAGTCAGTAGTGTAAAATATGCTTGAGCAATTTGAGTCATTGAAAACTAACGCCTTACTGAACTTACATCACTAGCATAATAACTTGAAGAGATCATCTCCACATTGGTCGTCAGCATTTTAAGTTATAAATATTGAATTCATTTCAAAACACATTTCTTCCAAGCATTACTGGTGACCAAAAAAACATAAAATTAAAAAAAAAATTAAAACGATTTGTTATAGAAGAGACTTTTACAAGGTGCAATTAAAATATTGCATTCATTAATATCTCAATAAATTTGCAATATTTTTATGCCACTTTGCATACAAAGTACTCTTGAGTGCATTTAATTCACACAAAAATAATTAGTTTTCTCCTATCTACGCATATAATAAAATATTAAAAATAAAAAATTCTATTTTTAATTTTTTTTAACTGACTCCTTAAAACAATTAGTTTGTTCCCCTAATGGCGAAGCATTCTAAACTTGCCGCATTCTTAAAAAAAAAAAAAATTTTTTTTAAATATATAAATCCAAAAAACATTCTAATTTTTTTCTATTTTTAACCGAAAACTTATTCTAATAACTATTCATTATTCAATATTCAACGGACCACGATGAGACACACTAACTTTTTCAAACCAATATATAATAAATATAAAATTACTTTAAAAAGAATTTTAAAAAAAACTTTTTTACGTAATCTTGAAATTTTTCATTTGCTGTTTTCTTTTGTCAGAATAATTTTTATCATTATTTACTAGCATTCTAATTTCTCGAAAATATGCAACAAAAATAGTCAACTTTCACCTTTGCAAGTACTAACTTTGTTTCTTTTCTATTATAACCCTAACAATTCCACAACTATTAATCTCTTTCGCCAAAAGATAAAATAACAATTCATTCATTATCTTCGTACTTCGCATTCATGAACTCTTCTGTTTTCCTTCCAAGGTCACCGAAATAAATATACCGTCTGAAAATCAGTCGAACGAATTCTTCCGTGAAATTTCAAAATGGAAGACAATAAGCCAAAATGTATTTTATTCAAAATAGTTACATCCGTATTAGGTATTTTATCAGGCGCTTCTATTTTAATTACATTTTTAGCGTATAAAAATTATCATGCTGCTGTTTGGGGGCTTTTATCAGGTGAGAACCTTTATAAAGAAAAGTTATTTTATTATTTTAAGCTTTCTTTGCTAAGAGGAAGTAATGAAAATTTTGTTATTTAACTTTGTATAATTTTGAATTTGGCTGATTTTAAGGACAATTACCTGATTTATGAATGAAAATAGTAATCAAGTTTTATGAAAGCATAAAAGAACAAAAAATTACAATGCTTTTATTAATGTTATCAGCTCATCTGACAATTCTGAACTATTTGCGCATGCGCGTTACTAAAATTATTGACTTTAAATAGAAGTGTAAACAAAAGCGTTAATAATGCTTTAAATGTGAAATTGTGATTGTTTTCCTGTATAATATCGAAAATGGTAATGTACATGAACATGTAGAAATTTTTAATCAATATAATTAATCAAAAAGTTATTTTCCTGCAATTATGAAAGAATAACATACTATTTGATAAAAAAAAATAATAATAAATAAAATAAAATGAAAATAAAAGATTTGTATTGCGAAAAATGGTCAAAAATATATTCTAGAAAAAGATTTTTTTCGTTCATAAACATGAATTTTGACTTTTAATTAAAAAGAGTAAACAAAAGACGATAAAGGATAATTTTTATCAGTTTTAGTTCCCGATGTATCATCATGCATGATACAGTAATATTTTACGCCCCTTTGTACTCAAAAAGTTCTTAAAATATACAATGATTCAAAAAAAAAAATTATTCAATGTTTAAACAAATAAGGTATAGTTTTTTTCTTTTAAACGTCAGTTTCGTCAAATTAGTTTACGAGCCCGTATTTAGTTTGTTTTTTGAATAAATTATTTAAGAATTTACAGTTCTGATACAAATAAACTGAATATTATCCATGAATGTTCAAAGGCTTTGGAAGAAATAGCCAACAAAATCAAATAGTTAACTAAATCTAGAGAAATTTTATCGAAACTACATTGAAGTATAGCAAACACTATGGCAACATTCAGATATTGAACTGATCATGAGTTGATGGGCATTATAGTTCAAAAATAATGAAGTAGTAGCATTTTATTTACGTCGCACTAAAGCTCGTAATGAGCTATTGGTGACGGTCTGGGAAACATCCCTAAGGATAATCCGAAATGTCATCACAATTTTGATCTTCAGCGGAAGGGATGGTTCCCCCGATTTGCTATCCTACGCGTGACGTCGAGCACTTTAGTGTAGAATAGTTTTGTAAGGACCGATACCGCGCACCCTAGGTCCCTTCGTAGGCTGTTACCCTTCCACTCACTGATCTTAACCAACGACCTTGACTTCGGTGATCTACCGGGAACCGCATCTTACGATCCACTGTTGAACGTAAAATATTTCTAGTTTTATACAGTAAAGATAACAATTTCCTTCTCATCGAATAGCTTTCTCAAAATTATTTATAGTATAAAACATCGCTTTTTAATAAAACAAATAATATCATGAGTATCAATTTATTCTGCAATAATAGTCTGTTAGCTATGAATCAGATAATAGAAATAATCAAAAGTCAATATATTTCTTACTAACATGAAAACAAATCTTAACTAAACTTGTTTAGTGAATACTTTTGCATTCTTTTCTACATTTGGAAACATCAATCATAAGTAGTTACATGGATGGGGTTTTCGATATAAATGTAAACAACAACACTCTCGAGCTCCTGACCTGCTCTACTTCCGGTTAGAAAGTATATAGCTGCTTACTACAGCTTATTCTGCGATTTTCAATCCCATAATTTTGTTATTAAATTATATGAGCTCAAATCTACTGTATTTCATCAGGGCTAAAGAGAATAGAATGGCTGGTTCACTCCTTTGAAGAAACTCTCTCCGCCAAACCTCCGATTTTCTCCAGTGACGTCACTGTGGCACTTTTACTTCAAGAACGGAGAGTTCGGTCTAACTAGCTCTAACTAATATTGGAGCATTCCTTTTTGTGACATATTCCAAGGCATTTGTTGTCTTATAAAATGATTTTCCTCACTTTATTGTAGTGAATTTACAAAAATTTAAAACTGTTAATGAAATGCCAGTTTGCGCAATTGCAACTTGCAAAAATTCTGATAGAAACACAAAAGGAAAAATATAATTTTCCACGTGTTCCCTAAAGTAAATGAACAAGTATATAAAGAATGGATTCAACGAATTGCAAACGAAATGACACATATAATATAAAACAGCAATACGTTTATTCTATCGTTAAGAACTTTTATAAAAATTCACCATCTAAATAGAAACCAACTCGTTACTTCAAAAAGAAAGACAGGCGAAAAAATTAAAAATGGATAAAGTCAAAGAAAATTAAAGCGCAAATAAAAAGTATAAATAAAATATATAGTTCATTGTTAAAATTATCCTAATTTCATAACATATTTTTTAATATAGTAATTCTAAATATTTATGATTTTTTTAAATTATATTATCTTAAAATTAAATATCTATAAATTATATTATCTTAAATTTAAATATCTATAAGCAATTGTAAAATTTCAAATATTATTATGAACCTAAATTATTATTTTGTTTCTGTAATTAGTGTTTAAGGTTGAAGTTTCCTAATGATTAAGTATGAACAAATTGCTATTAACGGCATATTTTAAAATCAGGATTCTAAACTTAACCCAACTTATAGTTATCAAAGATTATGTAGATAAAAAAGTGTCGATATATGCTTTTCTTAATAATTAAAGTTAAAACTGAACTTTTTAAAATAAAGTATTTATAGTGTCATTTTCGCCAACTAGTAAAATATTTTTATAAGTTTAAAATAGTATTTTTTTAATATAATGGCCAATAAAGTTTTTTTGAACTATGTTTATGAACGGAAATAATGTGTTAATTATGTAAAGTTTGAAATCTAATAACCAGAAAAAGTCTAACTTATTTTTACAGAGAGAAAAATGCAAGTTATAATATCTTTGCTAGCGATCTCCGAGATCTGTGTATACAGTGACGTCATGAGGAGGGAAATCGTAGCTTCAGCTCTAAGAGCGGAATGAACTAGCCCTTCTATTTTCTTTAGCCCTGGTATTTCATGAGATATTAATGATATTAAGTAATTCTGGTGAGTTTGAAGTGAAAATTCGCTTTAGTTACTTAGACATGCATTATTAAAAAAGGTGTTAGATTTAGAAAGAACTCGCTTTTTTTCTGATTTTGCCTCTTTTTACTTTCATTACTGTTTGTTCTTGGTGTACCATCATACGTTAGCATATTATTCTAGCTGCGAGATTAAGTTCATTCCACAAATTATCATTCAGGTTTAAATTTCGAAACAAGGTAAGGAGTGTTTTCTTTTTTCTAATGAAAATTCTATGTTTTGAAATGACGGGTCTTCAAATGACGATTTTTCTTTTAAACACAAATAATAAATCAGGTAAGAAGAAATACACATATACAAGAAATTCTACTCAAGAGAGTCTCAAAGGATCATGTTGTGAGCTTCAAAACACACCAAAAACAGTAACCCCAAGAGCTTGCAGCGCTCCCTTCTGTAGGAAACACCATTCATTTAGTAGACCTTTGAGGGAATTTAAGCTTTTTTTTTAAGTGCAGCGAAGTGCAAATACAGCTGTCGTATCTTAAAAGCTCGGGGCCATAAAATACAATCGTAATTTCGAATAATCTGAATGCTTTTGTTTAATACCCCATAAAAAGTTCCTAATGCAGCGGAAAAAATCTTGTACTCCTCATTTCAAAACATGTTGTCTGGGAACCGTGTCTTACGATCAGTGGGACTCCAACTGGTCACTGTGGTACTCCAAGAATGATGTAGAAAAATGGCAGTTGGCCCCTCTGTAAGTTTCACAACGAAAGTTCTCATGCTGTTTGCAAATGTTTTGGGGCCGGGATAGTCTGGCTAGTAGGATGTTGGGTCCATGTCCGAGAGGTCGTGAGTTCGATCACCGTCACCCTAAGACTCACGTGTACAAAATGGTGACTGATGCACGCTGAATATGTCGGAGTCGCAAAGTCCTCCAAGCTCCCGTAACAAATTAATATCTCTGGGGGTACTGGATCAGAGATTGATTGTGCTTTGGCTCAGGTCAAGATTACGATCTGCGGATGGATGGATGGTGAGTGAATATGCCCGTCCTGTAAAACGGGATGTGACGTATGTATGTTGTCTCCGGATCATCCGCAGGGATGTTTCCCAGACCGTCGCCAATAGCCTATTGTGCAACTTGTGCAGCTCTAGTGTGACGTAAATGAAAGTACTGTATCGTACCGTACAAATGTTTTGGGATAATAAACCCCAATTGCCAGTTTAGGCAGTTTTTAGTGCGTAAGTTTTGAAGAAAAATATACTTTTGTATCGAAATTAAAACTGAGAATAAAATAAAAAGTACAAAGAAAAGTTTCTAACATTGTGGAGAAGACAATTTGAACCGTCCGTCCCCCAAAGAGGACGTTATACCAAAGAACATCACATTATATATTCTTTGGTTGTATGTACTACTGGAGACACTGATATACCACGAGGAAATTCTGTTTCACCTGCATTTGTAATTTAAAGTATGGAAAAATATGTTCAGGTAAACCCCGAAGTTTCAAAGTTGAATTTTTTCTTATAAATATCAAAATACAAACAATACAGGATTATTTCTTACTGCCTACGGTAGGATTGCTTCCCTACTGCCTAATCCTGCCATGATTTATCTGCATTTAGGTGATTGAAGCTACATTGAAGCTCCACTTGAAGCTACATTTCAACTCAATCAGTTCTGATGAAGAAAGAATCGAAAGAAAAAATTCACATTTTTAGAAAATCCCTGTACTTGCAAAAAAGACAGTGTTCACTTTATCAACAAAACAAAAAGTAGATGAATCCAGCATTTTTTCTGAATGTCCAATTTATCATTATACACTTGTAGTGTGTTTACCACTACAAAAATACAATTCCAATTCACTAGTATATAAGACATGTTAACTCGATTCTATGTTGGGGTACCTTCTCATAAACGAAGGTTGACCTCTTTTAGAAAATAAACTTTTAAGTCTTTTGGGGCTGTTATTATTTATAGATAGTTATTATATAACCGGGAATTCTTATTTTCTTAGGAAACTGTTTTTCCTTTCGGTCTAGTTTACGAGAAAGCTTCGGTCCTTACTACAATGTGTGACCGAATATACTCCATTCGTTTGTCTTATTTTATGAGATAAAGAAAAAACTTCATTTCCAAGGAAAGTGTCCTTTTTTATTGAAGATTTTTCGAGAACTGCATAATCATACTTAAGGACATGTTCTCCTTTTCTTTTTTTCATTATTTTTGCAAATGATTATCTACTCAAACTACGTGAATCTAACAATTTAACGAGTGCCAAGTAAAAATAAAATTTATAAAAATAATAAATAGTAATAAACAAATATTTTTCAATTGTTTTCAAGATTAATTTTGCTCATTTTACCCTCTTTCCCCTGACGAAGGCAACATTTTGCAGAAACCGACTTAAGAGAAAGTTTTTAATAAAAAAAATTATCTGGTGGGCAAAACTATCCCGATTACATTCATAACTTTTCCCACCAATTGCTTTGAATTTTGACTGGAAAAGAAGACAGTGAAACTATATTTTATCCTGTCGTCTTCCAAGTTCAGATATTATTTTCCTTTTTTCAATTAACGATTTTTTTTTGCTACGAGTTTAAAACTGTGAAAAGTAATCCCAGTTGACGGTCCAACAAAATTTAGAAACATAATGACAGAATGCTTCAATGACATTTGACATTTTAATATACTAATTTAATTATCAAAAAAATTAAAAAGATTTCCTGTATTTTTATACCTCTTAAATAAAAATTGACATCCAGTTTTGTGAACACTATAAAAAAAAATTGAAAATTACATTTTTTCCTTTTTTTTAGCTATTTTTGCAGCAATGAATGCGAGACTTCATATAAGTTACAGAAGAAATACTTTACATCGAAATCAAACACCTGAGTCACTAAAAAATGTAACAATTTTCGGCGGAATTACAACTATTGTAGCTATTGTAGCAGCAATTACTTATTTCTCTTTAGTAGCAGTTTTTAAAGAAGGTAAGTGATACATCCTTTCTTCATGCATCTTATTTGCAGATGCATACTAACTTTAGTTGAATCACTGTACACGAGGTGTTCCGTAAAGACTACCCTTAATACTGATTATAGAATTTTTGCTAAAAATAAAGCTCACAAATTATGCACAATAGGGTTCAAATTAAGCGTATCAATACTGAAAAATGTGGAACTGAAAACATGATCAACTGATTACCAGTAGAAACAGACAAAGACGATTATTAGAGATTCTCCGAATTTCATTAGCCAATTAAACTGGTTTGGATGTTTTTCTTCCAGTCTTCCTCACTAGAGATTCCGAAGATTTTGAGAATGTTTTTATTTCTTCTTTGCTTAAGCATTAATTTGCGGCTCTTAATGTGTTTTTTTTACATGATTTTTATAAGGAATCTGAAAATATAAATTAAAGGTGGTGTGGTGATTATAGAACACCCTAAATCGATTTCATTTCAAAATATACATCCATTTTAAAGATTCATTTTAAAACATCTCTGAACAAAGAAAAATAATTATACGTGTTCTTACTTCATTTATTGCTATCTGTCAAAAAATAACAAATATTAAAAGCCAATTAGATTCCAATTAATCTAATTCAAAACGAACAACTGAAATACTGATCAGTAAATGCTGATTGTTAAATCACAAATGTGATCCTTGTATAATTCATATCTGCACTGGTATAAACGTTTCGTTTTCTTTGGGGTTTATATATATAATCCTTTTGGACAGGTGTATAAGTGAGAGACCATTTTTATTTGATTTATTTTTTTAAAAAAAAAGTCATTTCTGATCTTAAAATTCTATTTTAATTCGTATTGTTGATGTGTATTTCACTGCGTGTAAAAGCCGTATTTCAATGAAACCCACCACCAGGAAATATTTTTGCACAGTTCATAAAAATGTCCTTTGGATGAAAACACAATGGCTTGCTAAAATCTCCGTGTAGTATATGCATCTTTTTAAATGAGTGAAGACAAAAACAAATAATTTTCATTTTATTTATTATTGTTATCAAATTTAAATAATAGATTATTTTTCATTTATTATGTGTATACATGCTTTTAAACTTTAAAAAAATAATGAATAAAATAAATAAACCACAATGCTTGCATGTTCAAAAGTATCCAGTCACATTTTTTTCTTCTTTTTGATGTGGAAACTAAAGTCGATATGCTACAATAATAGTGTTTTATCCTCATATTTCTGTCATAAACATTCAATTTGCGTTAACTTAACTATCATGATGTGTTATAAAGGTAATAAAATTTTCGTTTACACTATCGGTTGGAACGTTAACTATAAATGAACTAGTTACTAAATAAATTATTCCAAGAAACTGAAGCGGTAAGATATTACCTAATTAAAAGTTTCATTCGCTTTCAAAATATATACAGTGTGTAACAAAATTATAAGATCACTGTGGTTTTTGTGACTTTTGATATAAGTAATATAAATTTTCCAAAATTAAAATAAATTCATGAAAATGAATGAAAAACAAAATACATGCACATATTTTTTGAGAGAAATTAAATATGAATATTCTGTCAACAATATCAAAATTTTTCATCTGAAATATCTATTACAAAATTTTAAGACCACAGGTTAAAATGAACTTTTTTACAAAATTAAAACGATGTTAATAATCCTATCCCAGCTCGCAATGACCTCAGTACTGACAAAAAAAACATTTTTAGTGATAGACGGATCATAGATTAGAATCCCATTGTCGTATGGCTAACGGTGGGAGGCTTTCCTCTTTATCAGTGGCGTAGCGAGGGGGGAGCAAGGGGGGGCATCATGCCCCGGGCGATACTCACAAAGGGGCGCCAAATGGTCAGCAAAACAAAAAAAATTGTTGGATAATTTTTATTTTTATTATAATTTATTTCTGCAAAAAATATATTAAATTTAGTGCCAGTGAAATATAATAAATGTTAATTCGTAAATAAAAAGGAACACTAATCAAACTGTAATAATATATTCATAATAGAAATGACACGTCTTTTCCACTGGCTGGCTGACTCGACCTGTATCTGTCAGCACTTCCTTATGGCATCTACGCTGTGTGGTTACATATATTATCTCCAAATATTTGCACTGTACAAAAATCGTTTGTATGTTTGTACAGTGTATAATACAGATTTCAATGGAATAGAACTCTTTATCGAAGAATGTGACTGTAAAATGTTACTCCTTTGTAGAAAAGAAATTGAACTTAAAACTCCATTAGAATTTCTTACTTTTATAATCCCGTATGGAGAAGATGTTTTTCCAAACCTGAGAGTGGCACTTCAAATACTCCTGACTATCTCAGTATCAATTGCTAACTGCGAATGGTCATTCAGCAAATTAAAATTAATTTTGACATATCTACGATCAACGGTGGGACAAGATCACCTAAGTGACCTGGCATTTTTAAGTGTGGAAAGAGAAAAATTTGAAATGATCAACTTTGATGATATTATTGATAAATTTGCTTCATCAAAAGCGGAAAATTTACACATAGTAATTAGTTTTATAATTGTATTATAATCATATTATTAAATATATGTATCTCCTTAGAGATAATAAATATTTACTTTTTTATTGTTTTAAAACTGCGTGTTTTTAAAATATTTCTTTATAAATATGTAAAATAAATAATAGGTATCTTATGAACTAATTCTAGATGATCATATACATTTCAAAGTCTAGTCTTGTTTTCTCAACTACATTTTTTGTCTCAAATTTAATGCCTAACTTGAGCCTATGACTTTATTTATTCTACTTTATTTATTTATTACTTTGCGAGTATATTTTACTTATAATATTAGATGGATTTCGAATGGGGGGGGGCGCTAAAAAGGTATTGTGCCCCGGGAGCGAGTTAAGCTCGCTACGGCACTGCTCTTTATGTAACGCAAATGCTGGTTAGTTCCATAGAAAAAGTCCTCCACTATGGCTAGTTTATCCCAATGATCAATTAATTCATTTCAAGGCTACGGAATTGAACATTAATAGTCATAAATCCAAAAATGGGTCGGCCGAATATCAAGAAATCAAAAATGCAAATGATATGTAGATGTTAGATCAGTTTTCGCCAAGGAATCCATGCATTTGCTATTGTTTTATATTATTGCCAAAACATCTTTTCTTAGCCTAACACATTCAAATTTGTTAGCTGAAAAAGAGAGCATGGGAAATAATAACGTCTTTTTAATAAAACATTTAGCAACCATGTAACAGTTTTCGAATTCGATGAAAATGTAATACGCAGTTGTAGAAAGAATCTCTAAAAATAGATTGATTCAGCACCCAAGCACTAGGTAATAAAAAACACTGTGTAATAAAAAGATTACATTTATGAATGAGTGTTATTCCCTGAGAAACGAATTAAATTAAAAAGAGTATACTCTCGATCTCTCAAAGTCTAAAAAAAATTCAAGATAGCGAGTTTTCGAGATAACAAGTTCAGAACTAAATATGTTCTAAAACATAGGAAAATATATTCGAAAATATTACTCTAAAAAGTAGAGTCATGGAAGCATAAGAATAACTACTGATAAATATATAAGTAATGATAGTTGACTATAAGTCTAAATACAGCAACGATTATTTTACTTCTTAAAAAAAGACGAAAATAATTATATACATATTTTTTTTTTCAATGGCGGGCACTTGGGATGTATTGTCCCATTGGCCTCTAATACCAGAACTGCTACTCTCTTCTCGCTACCCAGTGGGCACCTGTGGCGGAGTCAATACAGTGAACCCGCAACTATCGGCTCCGCAGTCAGGCACGCTAACCACTCGGCCACCTGGTCGGCAAAACATTTATATATTAAATGGGAAAAAATCGGTTTATGATTTAAAAAAAAGAAAATTTCATTTTCTATTTAAAAAAAAATTCGACATAACAAGGTTTTGAGAAGAAAGTCTTCGACATAAGAATTCAAATTAACATTAAGTGGATATATAACACCAAGTGGAAAAACAAGGTTTTTGAAATCGTATACTGTAATTTAATTTTTGAATGATAAAAAATATCCATATTTTTGAATAATACAATAGAGATGCACGGTATTGACCGAGCTCTAAATAATCAAGAATTAGTAAATATGGTGATTTACAAATACCTCGATTTTTTGCATACTTCAGAAATTGCAAGAAGCAACCTTTTTTGCAGGTTATAAACTGGACGGTTATATGCCAGCTGGAATCTTTGCAACTCTGACACTCAAGTTCACAATCGGGCTGATTTTTGCAGGAAAAACGTATGGAAATTATCTTAAGAATTATAATGCTTTATAGCTCCTAAAACATAAAGTTGTATAAAAGTCAAAATAAAATGTTTTAAGTAAATCAATCTTTTGTATTTCAATTTATATCAACAAACATTACAGAAAAGATACGATAATTTTTTTACCAGCCATGCATTTAAAGGAAAGAGGAATGCTTAGATAAATAAATAAATAAAAAGCTCCGAGGGTTTAAAGAAATTTTTTCCATGAAGTTCAAAAGAGTATTCGAAATTAAAATAGCAGAAAATGACTATCACCTCATATTTTAAAACATCAAAGTAGTGTTTCAACTGCAAATAGTTCCAATTAACCATTTAATTGAAAATGAAGAGCTATTACTAGAAGAACATTTTAAGTTCGATTTTTTTTTTCGACTGAAGTTTTTCAACTTGTGGTACTATTTTCTAAGAGAAGAAATGCAAAATTTAAAAATTTTGCTTTTTGTCTCGGAAATTTTATAAATATTTTCCCTCTGTCGAATACCCGATAATTAGTACAAATTATCTTCTCTGCAACGTTTTTTTTTTTTCTTTAAAGAAAAAGCTTGGATATTTGGCAAAATTCAAAAATTTTTACTAGTGCCTCAGAAATAATGGAAAGATTTTTACATCAAAATTAAAATAAGAAATACATTTAATCAGCATTTTTAAAAAAGTAACAAATGTCAGTGAATCAACGTTTACAGAGCCTAAATTTTTTGTCTTCCAGGAACGCACTTATTTAAGTGCAGGGAAAGATGACAAAAAAAAATTTAAATTTCCCCACTTTTGCATGCGTTGCAGACTGATAAAAATGAGAGAAAAATTCAGGAACAACATTATATGCTATAATATTACAATCTAAATTTAGAAAATTTAACAAAATTAAATTTGCAGGATCTTCCAAACTGACTGCCTTAATATGTATATTTTCAGAATTGTCAAAAAATATGCAAGTTAGGAGTATCCAATTATTATTTAAGTGAGGAAGAAACAAACGCTATTGAAATCTTGGGAATCACTACTGGGAAAGCGGGACCGAAAGCATCAAAACCTGTTCAATTGCTGGGAGAGACAGACAGGACTTTTAACAGCTGTTAAAAGCATCTCCAAGTCTTATCCTGCAATCAAACTGGTTTTGATGTTTTCAATCCTACCATCTTTAATAGTCGTTCTTTGGATTTTGATCACATCTGAATTTTTCCCTCACTTAAGTATTTATTTGAAACCTCTTCTGAGTATACTTCTTATTTGTCAAGGATTCAAAAAATATAAACCAAGGGCCGCAATTATATACCCCGAAATGTGTATGTGTGTACATATACAAACACCAAATTATATATTCAAGTCAATTAGAATTATCAAGTTTTTATCAGAAGATAAAAAAAATTATTTTATACAGTGAAACCTCTAGGGAGCCACCACAGTAAAATGGTCATTGAGGTAGGTTGGTCGTTCTTAGAGGTTACCCCCAATTGACTTCAAAATTATTATGGAAGGTACATGATTCTTCGTGAACGATTTTTATTTTAGTCAGTGTGATTTACTTGGTGCGGAAATGCCACTTCTGTTGGAGTCATGAAAAGACGGATCGATGAATAAAATTTAGCGTCTATAAAAATAATCCCAACTGATATAATTATGGGTAAAAACAAATTTACCAATTATGAATGATAAAGTTATTTTAAATGAATAAACAATTATGTTCTTTGTTCAAGTTTGCAAATAATTTTATATCATAAAAATTAGTTAGCTTTCAGAGATGAAAAGAGGTGTGTTTGCTTGAGATTTTTTTTTTTTCTAATTTAACTTTCCACTCCTTAAAGTAAATCATTGATAGCATCGTCTATAGTGCACTCTGACTGCAACACGAGGTTGTATCGTCAAAAAAGCTCTCGAAATAAGATCCTCACGCAAATATTTTGAATACATTTTAATTTAGTTGCTTCATAATTTTCTGCGTTTCCTTATTTAATCTCTTCCGCATTAGGTGTAGATATTTGCCCGGTCGATGGGAGGGGTTAAAACGGTCTTTCCTAAATGTTTTCTTCAACACAAAGCCTATGGAAAAAATTTCGGGCCTATCAAAAGTGGTCATAAATAGAGATGGTTTTTCCTGGAAGTTTCAGTGTATTAAATTTTTGCGATTACAAAAGACACATTTACAAAAAATTTATTAGCCACTTTATCACAAAAATTTCTTTTAGGGGTATTTATTGTGCAATACTTGAAAACAATCTATTTTTAACTGAAAATTCACAAATCACATAGGATATCTGGGGAATCAATTTATGTAAAATTTCCCAAAATTGTAGAATTTTGACTACTAATATGGTTCTTAACATCTGAAGCAATCGATAAGTAGTAAATTTAATTAATAATTTTATTCAATTTACAAGTTTTTGCAACATAATAATTAAATTGTTATAAAAATAGCTCATGAAAGAATTAGTTTTTAAACACAAAATTAGCTTAGAAAACAATAACAATTTGGTTTTTTTAGTCAATGGAATTGAAAATTGGAGAAAAAAAATTAAATAAAATTACTTAAAATTATCAACTAATAACAAAAATCATAATTTTTGAAAAAATCATAGCCAATGTGTAAAGTTGTCGTTACAACATTAAGCTAAATTTTAATTTAAAACTATACTAGGAATTTTTAAATGAAGATGAATTCAGAAGTTGAATTATTTATGTTTCAAAAGATTTATCAATAATAAACATAATTTGACACCAATTTTCTTTAGTGTAAAATACAATTTATTGAAAGAAGTTCAAATAATTTTTAAATAAAGCAACTTTGTGGGGTGATATGCTTGTTGCCCTAAGACAGGTAAAATCAATAAATTTGAACAATTTTTTACATCAAGGCATGTTCCTGATTCCTTGGCAAAGTAAAGATGGGTTTTTTTTTCACATCCTATAAGACCTCTGTGAAACCTCTTCTCAACAAGAAATATCAATTTTTGAAGATTTTTATGTTACATCAGCTTTAAACAAAGCATTTTTTGTTGATGTCCCTGGTCACTGCAGTCATTGTTTTTCTTAGCTGTAGAAGGATAAGCTATTCTAGCCATTGATGTAGTTTGAACTATTTATAGAAACAAAAATCCAAAACTTTACATATGAAACATACTTTATATTCTTTCTCTTTTTAGCATATAATAATTTACAAATTTAAACTACAAATAAAGTAGGACAATCATTACTCAAATTAAAATCGCATGTTTCAGCCAGCAGAAAAAAGAACATCTTAACTACACCCTTGAGTATTGCAAAGGTTAGTTGATGCTAATTATTATTTTCCCATGCAAATATGAAAAAATTTGTATTTAATAAAAATGCGTAAAATAATTTGTCATACTATTTGAAAATACACAAATTGTTCTTGTTTTGAACCAAATTGAAGAAAAAATGATTAATCAAAAAATTTGTAGCATTGCGGAACTATTTTATTAGTCTACATTTCTAAATAGTCCTTCAAAAAGTGGATGGAAGAAAGAAAAATATTTGAATGCATTTTTAAAATACATATAAAATGTTCTTATTTTTAATAGTTTTTTATTAATTATTTCATCAATTATTTTTACCTTCATTGTGAATGCTCTTGTTGCATGACATTTTTGAAATCTATTAAGAAAAAAATTCCATATTTTGAAAACTTTTTTTCTATAAAATAAATTACATTTGAGTTTGGTGATTGTGTTTGAAATAGAGATGCAATCTAAATAAAAATAAAGCTGAAGTCATTTTCTAGACTAAATTATAAGTTTTAAAACTCACGATTGTAACAATAAATATTGATGGCATGCAAAACTTTTAGGTACTTGTGTGTGCTTTAAATTTTTAATTATTTCTAAGAAATATTCAATAAATTGATTTCAGGTTTATTTTTTTTACTTGCATCCCCAATGAAAAAAAGAAAAAAAGCATTGTTATAATATAATAATTTAATAACATTTAATTAAATATAATAAACATATAATACAACTTTAAATCATACAAATAAAAAACTACAAGTAGGCACATTCAGACAAAATTGTTAGCTCTAATAGTTTGAAAATGTAGGATTCATAGGCACATGTAGAAATGAACGTAATTCACGAGGTTCTTGATTAAACTCGGAAGCTGCATCATCATTGCTTTTATTCAAAACCACAATTTTTAAATCCTTGTGAAGATATAATTTACCAGCTTTAGAAGAAGCAAACCTATAAAAGATAATTGTGTTCTTTGTCTTTAAAATTGTGCCATGAAAACAAGCATGCATTAGGATCAAGTACAATTAAATAAAAAGAATTTTTTTTTCCACACTTCAAATCGCATAAAATCACTTTCTAAAACTATATTAGAAATAAAAGTACTTTACAACATGAGTCATAACGAAATTATTTTCCAGCTTAAAAACTTGTGGGGACAAAATTGTCCCTTCTCATTATCTTATAAATTTAGTCTCAAAATCTATATCATAACAACCCACCCACATAAATGGTACGTTTTTAAAATATTTTAGTAAGCATAAATTTCAGGACGTAAAATAGTTATTTTATATAAAAGTGTGCTTGCAAGATTTAAAATTGAGATAGGTGTTTTTATGTAAATAATTTACATAGTTTAATTTGAACTCTAAGAAAACTACAAATAACGTAATTACCCAAAATCTTCTACAAATCTAGACTGTAAAACAATTTCTTAGTTTATCTATAGTTTTATATTAAGTTGAACGAATACATTAATTCTATTTTTAGGGCTTGCATAGAGCTGAAAATAATTACCAAGTGTTTTTAAAATTAAGAAGAAGAATAGAACTATTGTAGCTTGTTATGAATATTTTATTAATTTATTAGTGCATAAGATAGAAGTGAAATCTACAGTTTTGAAATTTTATTTGGAAAGTGAAAGCTAACAAAAGTAAATTTCCACCTTGTCTATAAAAAGAATTGAATAATTCAAAACTATTTAAAGCGTAACTGTGAATAGATCCAATCCCCTAGCGCCAGTTTATTGCCATTACTGACAAATTTACAATATAATAATTGCTTTTAATGGAATTCTCTTTTATTCCTTTTTATGCTAACATTGAGAGGTGACTATGGTGACATTGAGATTGATTGTCAATACCACCTAATCAATAACAATAGTAACATTGAGATTGATTAGGTGGCAGAGCTCAGAACTGCAATGTCAGACTCACACATTTTGTTTTGCTTATTTGATAAATCATCTATAGTTTTATTTCAAGTTAACAATTAAAAGCATTGACATTAGTAGACTGTTTTTTTTATTAAATGCCTTAGTCTCTCTCGCTGTTTTCAAATTTTTTTTCCTCAAAAAAAGTTACAAGTGATGAAAGTTACAAGTGACATATCACTGAATGAGATGGCAGCTGACCTGGCAAATTATGCTCTTCAAAAATGAACAGATTTTTGTTTTGAATTCTGGCAGATTATATTTATCTCAGAATAACTCAACATCTGAGTTTGGTATGGTGTGATACTTCAGAAAGGGTGGCATTCAAAAGAGGTAAAATATGATTTATAAGATGTTTTTCTAGATACTAGACTGCCGTGAAAAAAATTTCCTCTGAAGGCAGCAACCTTGGAAAGCATTGTTAAAAATGTTAGAAAATTTTGAAAGAAACTTTTAAATACATAGTACTATTTGTATTTATATACCAGATATAGGAATCAGATCATAATTTTTGAACAACAGCAATTGTACAAAAATATGTTATTAACTTAATTACCCTGGCCTTTGCACAATATGCATATTGATTTCATATAAAGTATAGGTATAATTTTCTAGCACTGATGTAATAACTTTTGAAAAATTATATGAATTATATACAGATTTAAAATGGATGTCAACTAAAATTTAGGATAAGCATTAAATATTATTATATTTATTTATTATTCATTTATTTTGTTTTATTATTCATGTTTATCATTGTAAATTCTCATCTTCTTTTGTTTTCAAACTGGAAATTGTTTCATATCCTTTTGTTGATCAATAAATTTTCTCCCTGGATGCCCCCGCTAGGGGGCGGGATGGGGCTGAGCTTTGAATACAGATTTAAAATGTCTAAGAATAACCTCCAACAGCTGCACTTTTACACAACCTGTAGAAATTTCTGAAACAATATTTAAAGTTCTTTTTTTAAATGATATTCATTTTTGAAGTCTGGGTTTTCTTAATATCCAACATTCTTAAATCTCGTTTCTTTAGTAAATTTTGAGATTTCGTAGGTTGCAAGACTAAATCATTTACCATACTCATTGCTTCTTAAATTAAAATTTTGCTAAAAGGACAAGGTTTAATGAAAATCTAAGACATAAAAAAAACCTTAATCTTAGAATTAAAGAGCACTCTGAAAAAGAAGTTTAAAAGTTGTTTTTGAAACCTTTACAACTGAGTGTTAAAGTGCAGGTGGTTACTTCTAAACAAAAATGGGTATAAAGTTTTATAATATTTTCATGATTTATTAGATCAAACCTGGAAATTAATTGCGGCACCTTATAAAATGCTCAATAGTAATAGTAGTAGATGCTCAAGGAATAAAAATATTTAATATTGCTTTTGCTAAAGAAAAAATTCATGCTCCAGATAATGAACTTTTATAGGGCTACAAATACCCCATTTTAAAAACTCAGATTATAATTTTTCAAAATATGCTAACATTTTCGAGGGCTGTCATACTGATAAAAGCTGCTTTTTTTATTACATTACATTAGCATTAGACTTTTATGTGCATTGGATTGCATATTTTTTTTTTACTTTCTAATTCTTTATTTTAAGATAATAGTCTTGTTCCTTATCTACTATATGTGGAAAAAGACAAGAGTAGAACTCATCTGTGAAGTGTTAGTATAATTTGGGCTATTGTGATAAATTTCATTCCTTGACTGAAATTATAACAAATCACTGAGTACGAAATGTTTCAACTGAAAAAAAGTCAAAACTGAACAGTGGCTTATTTTTATGGTATAAATATTTAAAAAACTTAAATGTAGTAAATATGACACATATTCTTCTTATTATAATATTAGGTTAATAATTTGTACAGTAATATTTAAAAAGAATGAAGGATACAAAATTTATAGACAGTTGTGGCATTATTATATCTTAGAAAAATCTCAAGAAATCTAATATATTTTGATTGATTTAAAATACTTCCAATTGAAAAGCAAATTATTACCTTAAATGTAAGATAAATCTCAACCACTTTGAAGATGATGGACAATCTTCCGCTGAGCCTATTGGCATAAAGTAAGTCTTTTGCCGTATAAACGTATGGCAAGAAGGTGGCATGTCACTCAAATCATAATTCAAAACAAACATTTTGACAACTGTTTCAGATGGGTTGAATAGTGTCTGAAAGAAATTGAGAACAACTTTATAGACAAAGCCACTGTATTTTATGTAATGTACAGAGATGTAAATTTTTTAATTGCAAAAATTTTGCTTAATTTTAATTTAATATTTGAGAAAAGCATTGATAAACTCACTACCTTTCTAAAATTGCAATTTTTAAACAATTAATTTTTCGCGAAATTAAATTGAAAATTAAAAATATAGATCGATATTTTTTTGTCAAGATTCTAAAATTTATATTTAAAGAGAGTTTTTAACATTTTCTTGGCGTTTATTATATGGGGTAATATAGATATATATATATATACACACTACCCTACAATAATGGAAGATACACTTTCAGCTTTTGACATTTTAAATTTATCAAGAAATATTTAAAGGATTATTTTGTAACTTTCAAGGTAATTAGTACATGTGTTTTTTCATACTTAGCAATAAGATTTAAAGCTTTCAGAGGTTTGGGAGACCAACAATAAATTGCGAAAGAAAATTAATATTTTTGAACACCCAATGGCAGAAAAACAAGCAATAAGCTTGTACCTAGTATTAATTACTTTAGTTGCTATTTTTAATAACTGCATAAAATTTCATAAACTCGGGTAAATATTTATGAAGATATAATTATTTTTTAAAAAAATGAAATTTTTTGCTTTTACTTTATAAATATTCAAAGGAATCAAACGATGTTTTTGGAACAATTTAAAATTAATAACAAAATTACTTATTTAAAAATTTTTAAAAAAATCGTTCAAAACTATGCAAAATATAAGTATTTAAAGTAGTCCTTTTATACTGCACATGCGTGGAAAAATATTTAAAAACATTTTTCTTAATTTTGTAGTGGTATTTGGCAACCAATGAAAAAATTTTGACTTAAATATCTTAGAAAATTAAAAAAAATTTCAAGCAATTTTTGCACTTTTGGAAGAAAAAAAACAAAATGATCAGGGGTTTTCCTGAAATTTCAGTTTGTACTATTATACAAAATTTATTAAAAAATGAGACTGACATTGTGGGGATCATCCCCCATAAAAGTATGTTTTTGTTCCCATGTATTCTTTCCTTATACTACTACAGTTTGGATCCTGGACGATTATTGTAAGGTATCACATTTTATTAACATTTTATTTTGCACAAAATAAAATTTGCGGAAAACCAATGATTGTTTCGAGCTTTCTTTTAAAAAGTACAAAAACTACTTAAAAAATTGCTTGAAGCTTTTTAAATTTTTAAGATATTTAAATTAAACTTTTTTCATTAGTTGTCAAATAAGATCCCCTACAAAATTAAGAAAAACTTAATTTAAATTTCTTCTGCATATGAATAGTATAAAAGAACTACCTTAAATGCATATATCTTGTGCAGTTTCAAGCGAATTTTCTTTTAGTTTTAAATAAATAATTTCGTAATTAATTTTAAATTGCTCCAAAAATACTGTTTGATTCCATTGAATATTTGTAAATTTATAGCCAAAAACGTTTTTTATAAAAATGTCCATATCTTCATAAATATGTACTCCAGGTTTACGAAATTTAATGTGGTTATTTCAATGAATAACTTAAGTAATCAATACAAGTTACAAGCTTATTGCTCAATTTCTGGCATAGAGTGATCAAAAGTACTTGTTCTCTTTCGTAATTTAATGTCAGTCTCCCTAACCTTTAAATCTTATTGCTAAGTATTAAAAATCACATGAATTAAACATCTCTAAAGTTATAAAATAATCCTTTAAGTATTTCTTCTGTTGTATTTACAAAAATATTTTTTTAGAATTTTAAAAGTTTCGAAATAAGATAATAGTTAAAATTAAAGTGAAGAAAAAAAATATTACTTTTTCCACGATAAAATGAAAAACTTAAAACTATTTTAACTAAGCATGCATAGAACACAAATAGGTTTTTCAAATAATGAAGTACAAAGAGCGCAGAAACAGATGATTAACACTGAAAACAGTTTAAAAACCTAGAAAACACATTAACATAAAGAATACTAATTATCATATATTTAGGACAAGGATTTCCAAAGCACAAGACGTGGCACCTTCTTATACCATGCAGAGAGATGAAGAGCGCTGTTAGGTGCTCATTATATTTAGTTTTAATAAATTTTTTGATATTTTTAAAAAACTAGCAATCCATTCTAAATGTAAAATCTAGGAATTTAACAACTTATCAGTTGAACAATATTTCCAATGGTTGCTGTTTTCATCCAAAAATTAATGACAAGTAAAAAATTTAAAAAGCTGTACGAAGCATTCTAAAATTCAAATTAATATACTCTGAACAGTAAGTTCAACACACATAATATACAACACCAAAAATAATTCCAAAAGCATATGAAAGCTATTTTCCTCCTATTGACATTCTAACTAACCAACATTTTCCTAGTAATTATAATTAAAGTCGTCATTAGAATTTTAAATGTAAATAGCATTAATTATGCTTATATTCTTAACAATTTTTCTGTTTTTAGTAATGTTACAAATATGAAATATATAAAAAAAATTATATTGCATATAGTATTATATTGCATAACATCCCCCAATGGTACCATAATTCATGGAAGAGTTCAAATATACAAGTGGAGGTAACATTGTTTAAAGAAAGTTTTAAGTTCCACTTCATTGTCAGAACTTTAATTAGTAATGTAGTGAAAATTTAACAACCATAATTATGTCTGCATACTGGGAAATAAAACAGAATACAGTGAAATAAAAAGTATGCAATATTTTCCCAAAGTAATTTGGAGAAATACTGTTTGAGTGCAAGCTACAACCTCATGAATTTATGAAATTTTGCAGTTATCTAATTTGCATAGTAAAGATACTCTTACAAAAAAAAAATTGATTTTTATATCAAAACTTAGATCAGAATACATAAAGTAATATCAACCTGACTAAATATGAGAAAACTTATTCATGTTACTAACTCATATTTCTGGGCAAAGGGAAGCAAGCAATATATTTTATGTTAATGTACTAGATAATTTTTTCATTAAAACTTTTAATATTTTATATCTTTACATAGAATGTTAACCAGTAATAAAGCAGAAAATAGTATTCTTTTCTTATTCTGAATTTAAAATATCTCATATAAAATATTACATTCCATTCCTTTACAATTAGGGCAAGACAAATTTTATCGTGTTTAAATGACACTCACAATGCAATTTGTTATTTTCAAAAATGTGGCTATGATTTAGGGCAATATTATATGATTTTTAATATAACATAAAAAATAAAGATAAAATTTAAATAAATCCAACCCATAATCAAAAAAAAGTATTTTTGCAAACGAAATACAATTAAAATATAAAATCTGTGCACACGCTAAACAAATACTATTTTAACTTTTGAAAGCAATTAAATGCATGTAATGACAATTAGCTTATAATTTGTCTTATAAAAATAAAAAAATAAAAACTATCGTAAATATGATCATTTTTACTACACATGTAAAAAAGAAAAAAAAAAAAAAACTAAATTTGAAACGAATCTTTACTAATTTTAAAAAAACACTCACCACTTGTATTGCTCCTTTTTTTGGCACATAATATTCAACATCATGAAATTTCACATTTGCCTAATAATACAAATATGATTATTTATTTTAAATTAAAAAAATTATTTTAAAATACAAAAGATGGAAAGCATAAATACCCTACCATATATGGAGAATGTAAATTATCCATCGCATAAAATGAAACATCAGCTGGCAAAGTGATATGATTAGGGCAAAAACTACCACTTGCTCCTATTTCAGTATGAAAACCTTCAACATTACTTACAGGAAGAAGACAACCTTTAAGAATAGATTCCTGGAAGACAGATAATTTAAATAACAACATATTAGTTTACGTTAAGATGAAACCAAAAGAAAATAGTCATAAATTTTTATTACAGTAAAAAATTGAGGGGAAAACATACAGAAAAAGAACATATATAATTTTTTAAGTTTTCAAAAAGATAAAATTCGAAAATTTCTAAAAAGAAATTTAAAATTTGTTGTTAAAATACAACTATTGAATTAGAGTATCTACATGAAACTACTTAATTCAATAATTTCACTATCTGTGAAACTAACGAAAAACAACAAAATTGAAATAAAGGAAAAACAGAAATTATTAGAAAATTTAAATGCTGAGAAACTACGTAAGAGAATTTATTTTAAGGAAAATTATTTAGCTAAAACTAAAAATACAGTTTAATCTCAATTTAAAAACCTCTACTTAACGACAGTCTAGATTACAACAGTATGTTTTGGTCCCAGCTCTTGAAGGTAACTGTTTCTCTTTTTAAAGACAAAATTTTTTTAAGGTGTAGAAATTGTTTTAACTTTTTATCTCAAAGAGGTAGACTTTTTATGACAGAAAACAAGTTTGGTTAACATTTTGAGGAAGATAAGGAAGATGACATACTAAAGGATTTCTTTAACTGTGATGGCAATATTTTAACAACTGATAAAGAGATGTGGTGGAAATTTATTAAGAAACTATAAATGAAAATGATGAAACAGAAAGTGACAATGAAAATTAATCACCTTTGCATTCATATACAGAGTAACTAATGCTTCTGATGTTTAAGATATACAGTATGTCCCACTTAAATAAAGTCACTTTGATTTTGTGCTATAATTCTATGCAAAGAAACCCAAAGTGAATCAAACATACTTATTAAGAAAATCTAAATCAACTACATATTTATAAGGAGTAATTCCTCTATTTTCCACTCGGACAGAAAATAAAAGTTGAATAAATAAAAAAGGCGAAAAAAGTGCCCCCTAGAAATAAAGCAACTTTTGATTATAACCAAAATGTCAGCCACATTTACATAAGACTTGAAATATGTGATGTTGCTTACCATTTACCATTACCTGGATTGCAAAGCAGCAATATTATGCCAGGTTTCAATGATGGTATTCTTCAATCTGCGGCAGACTGAAACTCCATCATTTTGTAATATATAGCTCTATTGAGTATAGCCCCCTCATTTTTTTTAGAGAATTGAAGTTAAGGGAAAGGATATGACACTCATGCCAAGAACCTGTTATCCAAAAACCATCATTGTAAAAAGTTTTTGATACAAATTGAGTCAATGTCCCATACAGACAGCAATATCCTATGGATATCCAAACACATATATTATGTATCCAAATATACAGTGGATATACGGATATGTTAGACTTCTTACAAATATCTAAACAAGTCCAAGTCAATGGATCTGGATATCTCTGCGATATCATTTATGGATATCTGTATGATAAGTAAGTTAGATATTATAGAAGTATCCGGACATTACAGTTATAGATACGAATATTTTGGATATTTACTATTGATGTGTCTTAGATATGGATATTAGGGCATTTATAGAATGCCTAAGAGATATTTTAAATTATATTTAATATCAGGCGCTGATCCAGTTTTTGGATATCTCAGAGATTTAAGTATTAGAGTTGCCAGAGTGTAAGTACTAAGTTAAGTACTAGAGTGCAAATTGTAAAATTATAAATAGAGAATTTATTATAAATAACGAACTACTGTTATTTTTATTTTTAATTTAGACTTTAATCCAATATTATAACTGGTGACTGTAATTATTTTTTTATTTACATTTTTAATGTAAACAAACTCAGGAATTAAATCATGTTTTGATGGTTCTTTTATTTTATTTAAGGGTATTTAGTTTCCTTTCATTTGTATATTATGCAAATTTATGACCTTAGTATGCCATTTCTTATTAATTATTTAAAACAAATACTATTCCGAATTTTTACTCGCCCACATTGAATTTCAACATATGTTGTCAACTTCTGAACCTCGTATTTGGCATTGCTTTTAGTTTTTACTTCAATATTAAATGTAATTCAAGAACTCAACATAACAAGCTTGCATCTATTTTAAAAAAGTATGAAATAGTAAAAGTATTAAGCAGTCATCAGACTATAAGTATTGACAGTAATTCTATTCCTTTTCTTTTCAAAATCATATTTCATATACTAGTACATTATGTTGTAAAAATTAATTTTTACCTGCTTATGAAAAGTTAATATCCTACTTTTTATGAATTATTATTTACAATTATTCGAAATGTCTTTTTGTAGATTATCTATAAATTGTGAATTTTCCATTATTTCTCACATATTTTCTGTTTAAATTTAGTTGAATCTGTAGATTTATGACTGTTAATCTTTACATTTATGACTCATTATACAGTATTATCATATTGCATAATAAATTGATTTTATTATGCAATATATTCAATACTATGCAATATTTTTTTAGTTAATCTTAGTACTAAATTCAACGTTTCATTATTTTAAACCATTATGCTTAAAACTAAAAAAAAAAAATTTTTGTTACAAATTTTTTTTATTAATAATTTTAAAAAGGATTTATTATAAATGTTTACCTACTAATTATAACAAATGAAAATATAATTATATTTTGCTTATTTACTATACCGCCAAAACAAAGTGAAAAAAAATTTTTTAGATAATTTAAAAGTATTTAGTAAAAAATTAAATATTTTCCTGATTATATTGATATCTTCTTAACTTTTTTATCTAGTTTTATATCATAAATTTTAATAACTTTTTTGCTCTTGTATTAAAGTTTTGCTAAGGTTATACTTTGATTTAAAATATTATGCTAAGTTACTAAGCATATTATTATTCACCTGAAGTGAGTTTAATATGGTTGAAGGTACAGGAAATTCTATATGATATTGCAGCATATTTACCAGTAAACAAATTTTCTGTCGTCACACAATTCCCACCTAGATAGGTAGCATATAGATTTACAATCCAGTGCTGAAACTATTTAGTCCATCATTGTAAAAAAATTATTGCAGTTATAGATAAATTTGTTATACAGTAAATATATTGATTAAAATTATAAATAACTCTAGCCTTGTAGTTTTTACATAATTTTGTCTGATTCTATGATAAAATATTTCCTTGAAAATAGAAAAATTTATTGATTAGAACCTTACTCTGCACTCTATAGTTTTCAAAATTGAACAAAACTACATAAGTTTTAAGAAAGAAAAAAAAACATTGCTAATTGAAGAAAATTAACCTAGTATGAACCTAGTAGTTTATTTCAATGTAAAGAATTTTTGTCATAAGAACTTTTTACTTTACACTTCCACAACTCTCCAATTTCTTTTCATTTATAAATTATGAAAAGTTTGTGAAAAATTAAATTTTTAGATAAAAATTGTTATAAAATTTTTTATTTTATAAATCTGTTCTGCAAAATACAATTATCTAATATTAGGAGTTTATTTATGTTCTGCATTCTGTAATGTTTGACGTAATTTCATTCATAAAATTATGGGATGTAAAGCTAAAATTTACTCCTTATATTAAATCAATAAATTTAGTAGAATCAAGTTTTTGAAGGATTAAGATAACTCTCCAATATCCATTAAGAGCATCTTTGAGATATCCACATAATGTATACAAGTGATATCTGGAAGAAGTCCCTTAGATATCAGTGTTATGCGCTGAATATCTGATGGATACCTGTGATAAGACACATGTATCCATCTGATGTCTCTAGGATATACAGCAGATATCACAACATCCAAATATCTATTGGACATCACACAGGTGCGATCCCTACATTTCTGACAAATCTTTCATGGATATTCAAATATCTGTTGGATTTGGGACTATACAGTTTCTCTGTATATATCTCAAATATCTCAAAGATGTTTGGGAGATATTTGTGGTTGTGTGAGATCTTGCTAAAAATTTTGGTTTGGGCCCCCAATTCTCTCTTCGAACAGCAGGCAACAAATGGGTTTCTAAAATTTTTTCTAATTAGTAGCTTTCAGACAGAATGGGAGAGAGACTAGGCTAAGTTGACCACTAAAGCTGTAAATGTAGGAGCTAGCCTCAGTAGAGTTGTATATATCAAAAAGGGTCAGGGTCATTTTCAGTCTATGGCAGAATTGAAGAACACCATCATCCAAGCCTGACATAATATTGATGCTCCTGTCTTCCAGGCAACAGTAAATTGTAAACAATATTGCATATTACAAGTCAAAAATAAATGTGGCCGGTATTTGGGCTTTACTCAGAGGTGGCTTCTTTTTTAATGGGACACTTTTATTCTTCCTTTTTTTTCCTTTTTAGTTTCTTTTTCCTGTCCAGGTAGAGTAGGGAGTGAGTTACTCTTTGTAAATATATGTTTGGATATCGACATACTTAATATGCATGTTTGGTTCACATTTTGTTTTCTTTGAATCCAATTATGATACAAATTTCACTTTGTATTTTTTCTCAAAATATGGAGGATGGCCTTTTTAATATGCTCAAGACCCTGAAAAATGTTATTAAAAACCAGGGTAATAGTAGTCACACTAGAGCTGCACAACAGCTATTCACAATGATATGGGAAACATCCCTAAGAAAAGCCCAGTTTTGATCTTCTGAAGAGGAGACAGCTACCCTACTTTGGTAGCTTGATGACCTGTGCATGAAGCACTTTACAGTAGAACAGCTCAACAAGGACTGATGCCACACACTCTTGGCCAATTCGCAAACTGATCAAAGTGGTCACCTACCTGTTCACAGATCGCTGCTTGTGATACTTGACTTTGGTGACCTACTGAGAACCGTGTTTTATGATTAGTCAACTGTGGGACCAAAAGATCACAATTAAAGCAATCAACATATAGATTTTTTTAAAGATTCATTTCCTTCTCATAATATTTTACTTTTATAATTATTCTACCTTATTTTTGAATTTGTGCAATAAAAATTAAGTTTTTAAAAATGTTTTATTTACACAAATTTATAACCAAATAAATTGACAATCCTAAGCTTGCAAAAGCATGAAGGAAAAATTTTCCAAATGATTTACCACAAAACCTGTTTAATCATGCACTCTACTTAAGGACGATTTTTCTTGGTCAAAATCGTTAAACAGAGACACAACTGTATTATGTGGAAAAACGTAGACAACTTAATACAAAAGGTATAGAAGAAGTCTTTTAGTGCACGTAATTGCTGTAATTTTGTTCCATATGTTATAAAGTTGTACTTTCTACGATCTTCATGTTACAGAGTTTAGCCAGCATATTTTGTTAAAGCTTCAAACATCAAAAAAGATATTCCTCAAATAATAGAAAGTTCAACCTATGAATTATATGTACATTTCAATTACCCAAATAAAATTCAAACTATAGCTCATAACCTACTTCAAAAAAGACTTACTTCAGGAGGTGCACATGCCAAAATTCTACTTAACATACAAAAAATATTCCTTATCTCTTTTTCACTCCTACTTTAACGAATGTAATTAAAACAGATTTGACACATAAGCAAGACATCTTTAAAAATTAAAATAAACTGTATTAAATAGCTTTGGTTAAAATGATTCCAAATTTTTTTTTTAACTCTTGTAAAATATACAGTTTAAAGAAAAATTCTGAAATTTATAAAAATGTATGTATAATATATTAATATTATATATTAATATAATATTAATATATTATACATAAATTTTATATTATTATATTATATTAATATTATATATCAATATAATATAATAATTTATATATTACAGATTAATTATAACCATCATTTTCATCACAATTGCAATAAAATTGTGAAGGTTTTAAAAGAAATCAACCACACTTCATGATAAATAAAATAAAAATTACTTCTCAAATAATTATCACTATCAATGAAAATGTTATTTCAAGTTTTAAAGATGTAGTTAATAATTACTTTAAAAAAATACTGTTCTGGAAACTAAAAAAATGCTAAGAAAACAGCTTTATTATTAAATAAAAGGGAGTGAAAAAAATTTCATACCTAATGTAATTAAAACAAATATATGCAGCCTATTTTAATTTTTTATTTAATCTATATTAAAAGTAATCCACAACAAACTGTTTAAAAAAAAAAACAGATTTATATGAACGTAAAGCATTGGTAAATGTAATTTAAATATATAGATTCAGTTACAAAAATAATTCATTGCATACACATATTTATTACAGTTCTTATTAAATATATTCTCTTTATACTAATATAATACTAGCCATATTTCATATTAATGAGTAGCCAGTTACTTTTATACTGAAGTATAAAAAAATATGTTAAAAGCTTATTGCATACAGTGACCTCTCACTTTACCACCTCTTTTTTGTGACTCTTTTCATTTAAACAACAATTTTCACAGGTTCTTGCTTATTGTATAAGAAATTAATGATAAATATCATTTGTTTGTGTATCACTCTCTAAATAATTATTTAAATTATGTGCCAAAATTTTTCTTAAAATATAAAAGATTTTTTTTTCTTTAAATGAGAAAAAAAAAATCACACGTTTTATTAGAAAATTTAAAAATTGAAGCAAATAAACAATCTTAGTTACAGATAAAAATAAATATGTTGCTGGGTTAAGAGCAATAGTTCATTTTTCCTTCCCTTGCAATCTTTTCACCTCTCTCGTTTCCAGGAAGACATTCTTTTCTGCAATATTAAATATGGTATCTCTTACACCACCAACATTGGCAAGTCAACAAAACCTTGCTGTTTCAAAAACATAGAGCAACTTGAGCAAACAAGCAGCATGGATGACTTCAAAAATTTTCTTAACTTTTTTTCGTGCACTTAGCAAAATGGAAAAGTAATCTATTTTTGGATCAAGGTTCAGCTCATCTATAAGGTATGCCAAATTTTGCTCTTATAAAAATAGTGTTTTTTCCTGCACTCTGTATGAGTAAGATATAGTCTTTCGATATAGGTATTATCTGTCGCTTAAAAGTGCACTACAAGAAAACTGATCTGTCTATACATTGTCAAACTAGAAACAGGCAAATCAGGTACAGCTAATGTAAAAATTTCAATTCTTGATGCAATAAATATGGTATGTACTGCATGGAAAAGTATCAGATTTTTTTGCATAAGGAATTACTTCAAAAAACAAGATTTATATTTTCTGGTGAAACTGAGTGTAGTGATTAAATCAATGAAATTGAAGAAGATTGGAATATTAATCTTGATAATGACGAATGGCTAATGAAATAACTGATGATGTCGTAGATGATAATGATGAAGTTGATTAAAAAGTTCCTTCAAATCATGTGAAAGCATTAAAAGCTTTAGACACTATATATCACTATTTGCAGTTTAGTTGATCTACTGAAACTCCCTTTTCCTATTTTTATGAATTTCAAAAAACAGTTTTTCTATTTTGTCAGAAAAAAACATCTATTGGATTATTTTGTAAGAAAATAAAGTGTTATTTAGTATTTTACAATTTTGTTTATAAAGTTGTAGTAAAAACAGTTATAAATATTGATTAATTATAATTTAATCTTTAGAAACATTTCCATCTATGCGCTTGATACAATTTATGTTGTGCTTTAAAGTTTTGAATAAGCTTTTCTCTTATATGTATTTCACTTATGAGCTTTTTTCTGTTGGTCCTTTAGGCCGACAGTCACATACGTGAGAGTTCACTGAACATGAAATTTTCAACAGAGATTTAAGAAATTTGACAAACAATTCTGAGTCACAGGGTTAAAAAACATGCTTTTTCAAATATTTGTAAATATATTAAAGACTTTTTTTTATGTAATACTTTACATTGATGCTGATAACTTGTACAATAAAAATAAAAATAATGAATTAAGAACATTTTAATTTTTACGCAAAAAATACTAAAAAATGTTAAAATTAATTGAATAGAATAAAATATTTTTTTTGTTTCAAAAAATTTTATGTAATTTTACATAAATTTTAGATGCATACTCAAAAAGAGCAAAGGTCTTATTTCATTTGAAAAGCTAGGACATTTCTTTAAAAAAAATAATGAACATTTTTAATTTGAATGTATTGACTTAGAGACTTCATGAGCACAAAGTTTCATCATTTATGTATTTGTTGTTTCAAATACAAACCTCAAAGTTTCCAAGGAGTTTTCTTCCTCTGGCAAACTTTAGCTCATGTCTGGGGAAACAGTCATGGTACATAGTAGCTTTCTGAGGCAAGACATTCCTTGAAGCCGAAATATAAATGAAGTTTTAGTGAGTGAAAATATTAAGATACACAGAACAACAGGGCTAGTCAATGCGAACACAAGTTCGTAACATGAAACGCAATATAATTTTCAGCCTAACTTTTTTTTTTATGTATTTAACAAAATTTTACACAATTTAAGATGAAACAATAAATATAAATATGGCATATTAATATCAACAATGATTTATTTTCATTTTTTAAAAGAATACAAAACAAAAAATCACTTACCAAGAACTGTTACATGAAAAAACTGATTTTTTTCCCAAGTTTGGACTGGTATCCTACAAAATATTTTAAAAAATTATATTATACAATTAAATAAAGAAAGCAATTAACATGACTATTTTCAAATATTCCAATCAGCAAATAGTTGATTTTAAGTAGACTTTCTTTAAGTGTTAATATTCTCAATTCATATCAAATTTTAAACTGTGAAATTCGGGTAGTTAAATTTCACTATTTTAATATGTAACTGTTTTTAGAAACAATCTAGTTAGGTTTTTTCCCAATTTACCTTAAAGAGCACATGTAACATACGATTCAGACACTTGGTTTTTTAAAAAAATTAAAACAATGATTTATCCTCTTTCCTCAAATCTTCCAAGTATTGAACCACTATTTAAAGCTGAAATTTGAAAATTTTCTGCTCTTGTTCATTCTGTTGAGGAGGACACAGACTATGCCATTATATACTTATACAAAACTAACAAAGAAATCCTTGAAACATATGATTTCTATTCAAAAAAATTAAGTGGTTTGTTTCTTTACACTAAAAATTGCTCAAATAGTATTTAATTGCTAACTACATTCCTTTCAGCAATTAAATTGATTTATAACTATTTAAAATTTTGTTGAAATAACATTTATGTTACCTATTCCATTAAACAAGTGTTATGTTAACTTCCAAAATGTGTTGGAGTTCAAGGTATGCCATTCATGTTCTCAGTTACTTCAGTCTAATAGATCCCTTAGCCAAAGGCTCTAAAATAGTATGAACAAAGTAATTATCATTCGATTCGTACATTGTGGGACTAATTTATATGGAGATGCTCAGAATATCACCTTTTACTAAAAGCCTCTCCTCCAATTAATTAGGCTCCCATTATGTTCATGAAGGTGCGTCTAACTAATTGTTTTAGAAGTTAAACATGTTGAAATAAAAACTAAATGGAATATTAACTATGAACAAAGAAACATTACAGATTTTTAATAGTAGAAAACGTATTGATCAAAGTACAACTTAATTCTAGTTCATGATTGGCCAACAGCTTTAGCAGGTATAAAATATTTAATTGCTAGCAAACTGATGTTAAACAAATTTAACATAGTATGAAAGAGCATCATATACATGTTAAACTAGTAAAACATAAGAAAAACCTAAATCTTCTGACTAAAATTAACTAAACTAAAATTATCTTCAGATAATAAATAAACTTTTCACTACACTTACCAGCCTTTGGAAGGTAACCAGATTTTTATTTGAATCTTGAAAATCATGTACTAAGTTCTTACTTTTAAACAAAGATGGTTCACTTTTGTCACCTTCACATGAAATCAAATACAGTGAGCTATCCTTGCTAGATTTTTTCCTCAATAAATCGGAGTTTGAAATAATTATTTCAGAGTTGTGGTTCTCAGCAAATATAGGGTTTTGAGCAAAACTATTAGCACTTTTATTTTGTAGGTTTCTTCGTTTCTCTTGGTTTTCTTCTTCGGTTTTCTTGACCTGGATTAAGTCCAATGAGCTAGATTTTGTACTAGATTCACATATGTTTCTGGCCAGAGATTCTTTCTTCTCTTTTTTATCCCACAACAAAAGCTTTGATGCTCTAGTACATGAAACATTTAAATAAGAGAATTTTTGCCTTTTTGTATTTGAAGATTTCAAAAGCTCTAGAAATTTGCTTTGCTTGTCATTTAAGGAAGAAATTTTTTCATGATTAGAGAACTGATACAAATTTATCTTATGCAAACGACAAGATTTATAAAAATTATTTATATAACGCTTTTTAATCTTATAATTCTTAGTTTGAAAACCACTAGTTTTAGATGACTTATTGGTTAAACAAACTTTAGATACATTTTCACCCATTACATTATTGGAAAAAGCAATAGATTTTCTAATATCACTATTGATATCACTGTTTGCATTAAGGCAATTTTTATGCATCAAAGCATCCTTTGCATTATAGGAAGACTTTAAAACATTCAAATTCAGCTTTGTACTCAAACATTTAAATGCTTCACAATCTGATTTGGCAGAGATTACATCATTACAGTCAGAAGAAAACAAATTAGCTGGATCTAAGTTTCCATTTACAAATTGATTTGTATTACCAGTTTGTACAGGAAAATTGACTAGTTCAGAGTTTATATAAGTAATTGATGATTCAAGATTGCTCTCATTATTGTTAAAACAATACCTCCATCTTTCATTTGAGCACTTTTCTAAGGATTGTTGTGATTTTTCAACTACTGCTTTTCTTTTGGAAGAACTTTTGGAGGAATTATTCCATACATCACCATACTTTTCAATGTTGCATTTTTCAACTTTAATATGGTTAGCTAAATTGGAAGCTGTTTTTGAACTTTCTAAAGAGTGGCTGTGCTTTCTTTTAGAAGGTTCTTTAAGAGTTTTATTTTGTTGAAATAAAGATCGCTTATTATTAAAACTTTCTATCTTCTCACATTTTTCTTTATAGAAACACTTTTTATTTGGAATGATGTTCAGCTCTTCACTTCTTAGAATATGTCTTCGCTTGAGAGATTTTTTTAAGTTATTCTTTTTTATTTCCAAAAGTGAAGCGTTTTCAAGAGGATTATGTGAGACATTACTTTGACTAGGTTCTATAGTTGATAATAAGTTAGAAACATTGGAAAATACATTGCAGACATCAGAGGTAATAAGGTTTGAAGTACTAGAACATTTTGGTACAATTGGTTTATCTGTTTGCTGAGAAGAAATTTCCCCAACCAAAGAATTTGTTTCACAAAACAAGGGAAGTACAATTTTATTCAATTTATTAATCTTAGATTCATCTTTAGGCAAAAGATTAGAGAGTGATAATTTATCAAAACAAACATTTTCTTGACTAGAACATTTTGAATATGTTTGTCGGTAGTTACTAAAGATGGCAACATCAGATTTCAAAGAAATTCCAGTTTTGTTGCAAATTTGAGCATTGCAAGAACTTGAAATGGCTCCATTAGTTTTTAGACCAATTTGGTAATTAGAATGTTTAAGAATTCGATTAGTTTTATTAATATCCATCAAACTATGAGTTAGACTATTAATATTTGTTGAGCTACTTTTTAAGGAATTTGAATCATTGTCACAGTGTTTAACAGAAGTAATAGATTCCTGGTTATCACAAGTCTTTTGCAAATGCTTGACAATTTGTGTGGTTAAAGCAATAGATGGAGTTAAACTAGATTCTTCAGTTAACCTTAATCTTAATCCTGGATGAGGAGGATGTTTGGAACAAGGAATGATTGGTATATACTGCTTCCTGGTAGGGAAGTTAACTCTTACAGTTCCACATAGTTCATCATTAACTTTAAATGGTGGAAAAGCATGGACTTCAGGATTATTTTCAAATTTTGTTGCAGATGGATCAGATGTAGGCTTCACCCTAAATTAATACAATAAAATCAGAAGCATTAAATTATGATGAAAATATGAATTTATGAAGCTTAAAATAGAATGAAGTATAATCAACACCTAATTATTTTAATATGTTTACAAATTGAGTTAACTCATGACAACTGTTATATTTTAATATCCAGAAGTGTATTTCTTAACTGAAAAAGTATACTGCACAAAGTTCAGGGCTGCCACTGGATGAAAACAAGAAAAATAGTTGCTTTAGTTGCATCATATATGAAAAAAATGTCTCCTAAATAGTCTCCAAGATATATAAAATAGTTGCTAACATCATATCCTCTTCGAATATAATTTTAATTACTTGTGCTGTAATAACATAAAATTCAAATAACATGCAGTTAGATACTCATATTTTATAAAAAATGTACATTTATTTGTGGATTTGCAAACAATATATTCTTTCACACTACGCATAAAAACAGGTAATTTTATTTTTATCTGTTACAGAACAGTTGAATTTGAAACTTGAATTTCCTTTCTCGGTTCTAATTTGCAGCTGCTTAGTTTAGATATTTAAAATAAAAAAAAGAAATATTGCAATTTAATTCTGTTTTATTTTGTTTATTTTTCATAACTGACACATTTCCAAATTTTAATGCTATCAAAAAAATTATGATCACAACTCAACAAAACGAATATCACCATATACCTTTTTCTCTATTCTAAATAGCTCTAAAAAAAATAACAACACATTTTGAGTAATTAAAGACAATTTTTTTAATTTTGCTACTTCGTTCAAATTAAAAGAGGGGAAAAAACGTAATCCTCAGAGATATTACATTAGCTTTCTGAAGCAGGAGGAGCATTCACGTAGAGCGAATACCAATCCATCAGTTTGATTGGTTAAATATGCCTGTCATGCTTTTGACATCAAACAGTGAGAAATAATAAAGTTAGGATCAAACGAAAGCGCGGCAAAAAAAAGTGGGGGAAGGGGGAAACTCATGAAGCTATTCTTCATTTTAGTCGCGAATTGGCTTAAAAAAGTAGCCGATTTTAAGCAACTCATTGCAAATTAGTTGTTTTTACTCATGTTTCTACTAAAATAGTCGCCATAGTTGCTATTGCTTTAAAATAGTCGTTTTAGTCGCCTCTTTAGTCTCCAATGGCAGCCCTGAAAGTTAAAAAAAAATTACAAGTAAAATTATACATAAAAATTAGAAGAGTACAGTAATTAAACAAATTACCATATATTAAACGAGATATATTTACCACTCAGAATCTATTTTTTCATTTAAAAACACTTCTTAGGTGCTTAGAGATTAAAGAAAAACAGTATGTGCTTAAAATACATGTAAAAGTATTTGATAATGCATTTTTATTCATAATTTAGTATCTAAATGCTAAGAAAGTTGAAGCAGTAAGGCAAATTATGAAGTCTATTAACATACAAAACGGATAAGAATTTTGACTTTTAAATATTCAAAATAAACATATCTCCAAGTGATCTATCTATCTATACCCTCAAAGTTTAAAAATAAGTAAGGTGTGAATATATTTTTAAATTTGGAAGGAAAAAAATTTTTTTTTCAAAATTTAAATTTACTCAAAAACATTTTTGACATGTTGAGAACATCATTTAATATGTTAGAAATGGTATCTATATAATTATTTTTATTGGATTCGAGGTGATAAACTAAGTGTATGAAAAGTTCAGTGCAGCTGTTAAAACCTCTTTAGAATTTATAAGTAAAATTGAATGCACCAAAATTAAGAATATTATAAATCATTCTTTTACAAACATTTAATGTTGTTCCAGCTCAATTTCATAAAATTATAAAAACATTTGACTTTTTATTGTAAGTAAAATGTAAAAATTTTTCTTAACTAAAAAAAACAAATAGCTGAACAAGAAAAATTTTACCAATAATATATATTAGCAGGGGATTTTCCTTTTGTAGAACTTAACCAAGCACTAATTTGTGAAAAATGCAGAAAAGAGCGCACTGCTCTTAGAAGTTCTGGAATTTCAATGCTCAATTGGGCTTTGTCGCTATTAAAAAAAAGTAAAAATAAATAAAAATAAACTAGTAACATAAGAATATACATAAAAGTTAAATTATTTTAAATGCTAAAAAGTTCAAAAAAAGTTCTAAGTTTACTTATTTTGGAAAATTTATTAATTAACAGAGTAAATCAGCTTAAATGAATTTTGTTATATCAGTAAAATAATATCTATACACAAATATTAAATATGACTTACAAATTCACAAAGGATATAAGAAAAACATATGCCAAAGAATCAGTATTTTTAAATAATAACTAAATATCATTTCAAATAATAATTCTAAAGCTATCTAGAACTGTGGAAAGCCATCTAGAAGATTTGTGTATGAAAAATAGTACAAGTGCATGATAAAAAATAAAATTTTAAATTGTTCAATAAATTTTGCAATATTCAGACAATTCACTTTAGTTAAGATACATCCTAATTCAATATTTTATTTGAAACTGGGAAACATCTGATCTTTGATTATTGATGAAAAAAGTAATTATTTGATATTTATATTGATAGTTTCACTCATGGATATTCAACAGGAATCTAAAAATGTTCTTATTTAATGACATGAGAAAAACTGTTTTGGTATGCAGAAAAAAATAAAGGTAAAAATATAATGTTTCCAAGGAAAAACTATCAGAGGACTAATATTTAAAAAATATATATACTGAGTTCTGTAATCACCCATAACTCCATTGTAGAAATCTTAAAGTACTAAAGAAATTTATCATAAGTGTCATAGTCCATAACAAATTTCAATATTTTTATGGAAGATTAAATTAAAATTCAAAAATATACATGGATGAGCAACACTTGGCATACAAAAATTGATGTTGTCTATTCAGATATTGAATAGATACATTGAATTTAAATGAAGGAAAATAATAAAAATTAAATACTAAAAGAATATATGTTATAATATGGATAATGATGTATGTTTTTTTTTTTTTAACTGTACTTCAATTTTCATGATTTACTCAAAAATATAAGGAAGTGTTTATAAGGGTGGAGTGTAAATTATATGACTCACCCTTAGTAGATTCTAAATTATATAAAAACATTATATAATATTACCAGAACATTTTAAAATTTATATTTTGATTACTGTGTAGGCAAAACATTAAATTTTTCATATATCCGACAAAAAAAATTTATTTTTGTGAATAAAAAAAATCTAAAGCAATAAAATACGAATATACAAAATGTGAAACAGTAACATGCATAAAACTTGTCATAAAATCCTTAAATAAGCATAATGTTGAATATTCAAAAAAAAATAGCATGGTCCTTTTTTGATTTTAGAAAACTTTCTACCTGTGCACAAACGTATGCAAATCTCTTTGCTGAACATTCGACAGTCTTAGTACTATTTACCAATTTCATGAAAAATAGTTTTTTACTTTAACAAGTTTGCGAAAGCCTAATTTCCACATCTCAGAAAAGTGTCATCAGATATTGTGTTCTTACAGATCAGAAACATACTGAAAGAAAGTATGGCAAATCAAACACCAATTTTTAAAAATGCTTAGACCTATCTTTACATAATGGACACGTTTAACCTTACAACCAAATAAGCATTACTTTTGAAAAAAGGACCATGAGATAAAAAATTTCAAAAAATCTACAGAAACATATAGTTATAATATCCTGATTGCTTTTGTTACCTATCTAATTCACAATAAGTATATTTAGAGAAAATCTTTTCAAAGATTTGGTTTCTCTGGAAGTTGTCATCATGGCCACTGCCAATTCTGTTGCTTTGATAAAAAAAAAATAAGTCCTTTGCCTTTAGCATTATTAGTTGTTTTAGTTGCTCATATTCTAATCTCCAAAACAGTTGATCTTTTAATTAATCATTAAAACATGCACCAAACTTGCCTTTGGTAAAGAAGTCTTCTGGTCTATCATAGTGAACAATAAAGCATATTTTTCACCCTTATCAGATATTTTAGGAAATTCAAGAAAGAAATTAACTTGCATCAAATATTCTTCAAAATTATCTCTAATAGAATTTTAAAAACCATTTACAAGTACCATTTTTGAAGAAGTGAAAGAGTTGCGACAAAAATAGCTAGTTTTATTTATGTCTCATCCCCAGTGTCTTCATTTATAAGAGGAAGAAATTGATGTATCTCTAGTTATAAGCCACATATTTCAAATCATCATGAAGCAATGCTCAACGACACATAACATTGGATAAAATTTCGAAAACTACATACTTCATTTAATTTTCATCTGGTGTTACTAGATACATGACCTGAATAATGACAAGCTACAAGAGCGATTGAACTTCAAAATCTAATACATTTATTTCAGGTAATAAGGCTGAATATACAACAAAAAAAGTTTTTTTTAACATTTAAAATGTTGTTTGATTATAACTGCTAAAATGACAAAAATTTGTGACTTCAATAACAAACTAAGTTCTTTATATCCCTTTGTCTTAGCAGAAGAAAATTATATTGGATATTTATTTTAGTATATGAAGAGAGGCATCCCACTAATATTTTTAAATTACAGCATATTTGCTTTTCTCAGTATCATAATACACTTTTAAAACAAAACAGGTAAAGTAAGATACGTTAAACATCCTTATTCATACTTTTAACAGTGTTTTCAATATAAAAGTTAATTTTTGAGCCTCATCTTGGTAAACATATCCTAGAATAAATAGTTAAAATAATTTTAATTTAAAAATGAAATTTAATTAGCTTAAAAATATAACATACCTTTCAAAAAATGTCATAGACCATCTTTCAAGAAGCACATATTCTTTATGTTGTATTCTTTCACTTAACTTAGACTCAGAACAACAGTCTGGAAGCATCAGAACTTCAATCTCAAAAACATTATGTCTAACTGCTCCCAATAAATGATGGATCATAGTTTGATGTTTTTGACACTAAAAGAAAATCCTTCTAATTGAACAATAACAGTTACATAAAACCATTATTTAAATAATATCTTTGAGAAAAGAATATAGACTAAAATATTGGAAATAAGAAACAATAGAAATTTACGTATTAAAAATTTGTATAATATACACAAAAAGAAATAAATTTATATAATTTTGTAAATTCATGACCAACAGGAGAAAAAGCATTTGTACAAAATAATGGGAAAAGATAACTCACTATAGTTAGTTACCTTTTCCTCTAGAAAGTTGGAAGGGAAAATTAAATAATGTTCAAATTGGCTAACTATAAAGGTTGCCCAAATTAAAAGTGAACATGTATAACAATATTAGAAAAGGATAGTGATAACAGTGCTACCATTCAGAGTTATAAAGAAAGTTGGAGGCACGCTCTACAATTGGATTGAAATGATTTACCAGTTCTCAAGAAAGCACTCAGTGAATTTAAAGTCTTGCTAAGGTGATCGAGCTGGACATTGACGGAGTAAGAGGGAAAAAGAAGGCATAAGGAAGGGAATTCTCATATGTTTTCATTAGAATACACTCATCTCTGCACATGTAAGAGAATTTCCCCTCCGTATGCCTCTTCCTCCCTCAGAATGTAACCAACTGAAAAAATAAAGATGGATGGGTCTTTAATGAAACAATGCCCAATAGCACTTTTTTTGGTGGCAGAAATTAAATCAAAGGAATTTTTTGAATTAATAGCATCACTTTAACTTACTATAGTATCTCTGATTTGACTCACCATTTATAAGACCTCATGGCCTCATCTCTCAACAAAAGTAAAAGGTTAATTCCATATCAAATAAACTAATAAAGAAAAAAATTTTAGATCAACAAATCAGATCTCTCTTATTTTTTGCATGTTTATTAAACCTGCATGAAAATGCCAGATTTTTTTTGGGGGGGAGGGGAGAGAGGGATTGAGCCATTTGTTTCTAGGTTACGCAATTCTCAAATTTTGAAAATTTTTGAACTGCTATAACCAGAAATTTAAATGACCTAAAAAGCTACATTTTAGGTCATTCTGTTCAGTTTTTGTGGCATTTTATAAATATAACATGGCTCAACTAATTAAAATAGTACATATATATTATTAAATTCTATTAAAAACTGAATACAATCATCAAACTTTAGCCATTTAGGTAAATTAGTTTTGAAGTTATAGCTGTTTAAAAATTTTAAAAAATGCACAAAAATTGTGAATTTGGGCAATTTTATGGTACAACATAACAAAAAATAAACATTTAATAGTATATAACAAATTTCTTAGTTTTTTATTAACTATTTTAGATATAAAATCAAAAATTATAGCTTTTGAGTATATTGTAATAATAAAAAAAATTTATCAAAATTTTAATATAATTCGTATGAGTAACATCAGTCACGTAAAAATTGTAGCATGAGTACTAAGAGCTTTCCTCAATTTGCCACTTTCTATATGTCATTTCTTTCTATATGTACTTCCAATGCTCCCTGTTAATTAGAAGTTGTTTTTTGTAAATAAATTTTAAAAAATAATCCCATCATTGCTTACAGAAGGAGAATTTCAAAATAAGAATATGTTATACTATACTCCATATCCTTTTCATGTAAAGTCACATTTTTACTCTAATAAAACATTTGTAATTTTCATCCTTTTTTCTGATATGCATATTAATATTAGGCTATTGAAAAACGTCCCATATAATTTTTTAAAAAATATTAAATATTTATCCATGAAAAAAAAGTTTAAAAATAAGAATACCTCTCAAAATATGTAAAATCAGTCCCCTTGGAATTTCTCATTTTAAAAAAGCATAACTTGGAAACAAATGGTTCAAAAAATCTGAAACTTAGTAATTTTAACCCATTCTGATAGTTCGGTTCAAACTCTAAGCCAAAAATGTACAGTAAATGTAAAGACCAGACATTTTGAGCATTGGTTGATTTAGTGTGGTGAATCACCCATAAACTATTTTCAAAGTGACTGTTACTTTGCCCAATATAAGAGAATTCAGTTGCAAACATATTTGTGGTTTATCATTTTCTCACATTAAGCCCTTCATCAGTATGTATAATAAATTTAATTCTTTTTAAAATCGTTTTTTTTTCTAATGTAATATATCCATACAATAATATATAAGACTTTGTACACCACATTTGTTTTTAATTCAATAAAATTTTGAACACATATGCTGGTAATTTATATAGATAAAATCAAACTAGTAATTTATATTTGTTTCATCAAATGCATAAAACATTGGTTTCATGCATTTGGTCATTGAAGTGTAAAAATTATAAATTTATGATTCAATCAAAATAAATTTAAAACTCTCAAACCAAAACAAAAAATAAATAAATCAACAAGAAATAACATAATGTTAGAAATCTATTGCAAGTTAAATTTAAAATGTTCATAAAAATTAAAAATCAGAATGAATAGTAAACCTTTATTCTAGTTTTATAAGTTAAGATTTCATTAAAAACAAAACTTGTTCAGAAAGCAATAACTTCATTGTCTTCATATTTATTAAAATTTCCTGGAGAAAGTTGATTTTAAATTAGAAAATCAAGTGGCAAACTATTTTTAAAATTCTATTACTAATTTAAAACCTGAATTATTGAAAGCACCATTATAAAACCAATGAACCAAATCAATACACCAATAACTTATTTGAAATGTTTCCATAAAAGTTTGCACATCTGGTAACTTTCAACTCAAAAACTATATACAACCATTTACCTTACATTTTAGTTATTGTAAATTTAGCTTGGTTATTAAATAAACAAAACAAAAAAAAAACAAATATACACATAAAAACTTTATAATATGTTAAATAAAACACCATACTTTAATCATACTAAAAAAATTTATGTTGAGGTTTTTATCTCCATAATCAAGAATAAGATTAAAGTTATGGTTTAAATTTTTATAAATCATGAAACAACAAATGATGTCCATATCAAAAATTAGTAAATAATTTTTTTTTAATTTAAAAATTTGAAATACTAATAATTATACATTTTTGGGACAAATATGTACACCAAATTTCATTTTCTTTAACCAATTTGTTCGAGTGAAGAAAAACAGGGGTGTCCAGATGGGAGGTTGCTCTGACCTCCCAAAGATTTTTCACTATTCTGCAAATTTCGGCTCACTATTCAGTATATTTAAGAAATTTTAATCTCTCTCTTTTTCTTTTAGAAAACATAAATGAAATTAGTCTATATTATGCCTTTGCCTACCTTTTTAAAAATGTTGGTCTTATAAAAATTTTTGTTTTTTATATTGCTGATAAATTGAAAAAAAAAATTTACATCATTCAAGATAGATTTCAAAATAACTATTTTCTTTTTAGATAAGTCACATATGATATAGTACAAAAATCTTAATTTTGAATTTTTGTCGCTAATGATTTTTCTATTGCAAGGCAGAATATTAACCTGAAATGTTTACAAAAAAATTCATACTTTTTACATTTCTTGGACACAACGAATGACGAATATTCTCATTTCGCTTTTTTTAATTAAATTGATTATTAATTAGGGGTCTCAACTCCCAGAATATTCTATTTCTATTCGGTATTCGATGAAATTTGTCGATCAACAAGTTATTTGTTATTCAGTTCATGGGATAACGAAAAATTATGTCTTCATCTTAACTATAAATTTATTTATTTATTAAAAAATTTACACATTTCCTTGTAGAATCAATTTTATAATTACCTCAGGATTCATTAAATCGCACAAATGCATATTTTGACCTAAAAGAGGGGGACAATGGTATCCATTACCATAACCTCTTTCATTGATTCCAGGTATACGAGATTCTACTATCAGATTAAAAAGGTCAACATACAAATTTCCATTGACTTCATCAATTTCAGTCCCTAAAATTAAAGAAAAATCATTTAAATACAGTAACATTAATTTAGAATTGATTTATTTAAAAAAGTCATAACATGTTGACATGTAATGGGACATGTCATAAAATTATCAAAATTTTGAATTATATACCATTATAACATAAGAATTTTTATATTAGAATTTACTAAAATATTTCCGGAATACTAATTACGTAATAATTAAATATAACACTTTTCTTCTTAAGACCATGAAAAACTAATTTTGCCGAATTCGTGAATATAAAAAGGCTTCACTGTCAATAGATAACAGTTCTGCCTTCATAAAATTCTAAAGACTCAAAAAATTTAGGAAAACATTATTCCTGCTGGACACTGTTACATATTTCGAAGTCTCTAAATAAGGATTCAGAATTATCAAACATAATATATAATATGCTTCATAAAATGTTTTCATTTTTTGTACAATTTTTATGATTGATATAAGCATGGGTGTCTAGTTTTTAATGGGGGAGTTAAAATGTACTGTTACAACAGTTTCGAAATTTTAAGTTTGGGGGGAAAAAATGAATAGAATATCTTCCATCATCCAAATGCTTGCAAAAGGATTAATTTTTTCTAATTTCTTAACTTGCTTTTTAATGTGGCTAAACTTTGATCAATGATGATTCATGAAATTGGAAGTTTTTTTATCATTATTTATTTGAAATTTAAGGGGGAGACACATCTAATTATTTAGAAAGACATATACCCACCATGCCCCCTGACAACAATATCCATAAGTGTAGATTATGTATGTATATATATNATGTGTATATATATATATATATATATACTATTTCTGACTGACAATTACAAAGCAAAATAATAAGCATTTCGTAACATACTACTTACACAAAATATACTTCGTTTTAAAAAATTTTGCTCTCGCTTCATTACACTTTAATAGTTGTAACTTTACTTAACCAAAATTCAGAAATACTTCTTTATAATAAATTTCATAATTTTTGCAAAAAATAGTTACAAACCTGTAATATTTATGCAAATTTTATGAAAAGTTATTCTGATTAGATACGAGATTCTTCTGAAGTTAAATGAATTTTTAAAAAAAGGTTGCATTAGATTTTACAGAACAATGTATAAGCTATCAGCATATGAGCACAAAAATAATGTTAGGAAAAATAATCACAGCAATTTCAAAAAATCGGTAAATGACTGACTAACTAATTGAACTTTTTACTACTAACTGACACTTTTGAATTTCATTCCAACATCCTAATGCAAAAAATCTGAACAATGAAAGAACATCATTTACTAATTTAATGAGTAAATAGTAAGTTCTAGTCAATAACCAAAAAAGTGAACTTAGGAAAAGAAAAAATTCATATGCCACACCAGGGTAGCAAAATGAATATTTATTTATTTATTAACTCGTTAATTCATTAATTTAATCAAAATAATAAATTCGTATGACAAAATAATAATAGGTAAATTGAGATCGTCACGAAAATTTTATAATTTTAGTTAATTTTTCCTGATCTGATGATTTAACTGATCTTAGATAATAAATTGATAATATTGCATTTAGAAAATTATTTTCGATCTAGAGCAGTGTTTTCTGATAAACAATTAAATTTGTGTAGGGAAAGTAAAGCGAAATTAATTTTAAACACTTTCAGTTGAACAGAAATGTTTAGTTGCGCCACCCGTTTATTTCTAGTTTCAATGTTTGAGAATCAACTTTCGACCCAGTGACGTGTACGGTGTGACGTCAGGCCATCTTCTTCCATTAAGAAGGGAATACCGGAAGTAGCAGTAGTGTTTGATTACGTAATAGGCAGGCTGCACTCATTTGACACTTGGAGTCCTCTTTTTCCTCCCAGTTTTTCCCCCCTTAAAAATACTTTTGAAAAATCTGATCACTTCTGTTAGATGAATGTATGAATCGTTTTTATTTCGCCACGGGAAAAAAAATCAGTTTTTTAGAAATTATATAAATCAAATATATTTCTTTGATATAAAAATATAATTCATTTAGTTTACAATTAACTATTTAAAACTTGCTTAAAATATAAAAATATAAACTCGAATTAATACTCAATTAATATATTTGAAATGAAAATGGATTTTAGCAATACGGTTAATACAATAATTTAATACAGTTATAATTTAAATAGTACAGTTATTTTAAAGATTTCTTTTACTCCATCACATTGTGCTTAAAAAATTTAAAACAAAAGCTGGACACAGATTTTATTGGAATCCAGGACGAAATTTATTGAGACTATACTATAAACTTCCTCAAAACATTAGAAGTCGTATTTTCATATTTTGTATAATTTTTGGATATCCTTTATTCGAAATTGTAGTTTTTATACAGTTAAAGGAAATCAACAATTTTCTTTAAAAAAATTAAATTTAAAAAAAACTACATTTTTGTAAGGAATTCAGACCGGGACCTCCGACAATTGTCCCTGTTTCCACCCCCTTTGAGTACTGCTTTATTAAAACATGTATAATATAAATGCAAATCATGTCATTATATTGCCAAAAGAATTCGGATATTTTTATTAATTTTTTCCATTTTTCTGACTAATCTAGTATTAGAAAATTCATGAGGAAAAGCTTTGAGACAATAAATTCATTTATTTCTTTTTCCTTTTCATTTCGAAAATAAATTAAAACAAACGCTAGATAGAGTAAAAAAAAATTCGATTTAATGCAATGTATACCAGAGCTGTTGTTGGAAAGAGACATTTGCCAAATTTCGTTCATTCCTATGACTTAAGGGTGCCCTATTGAAGTCACATTCGAACAAAAAGATTTTTTTTCTTTATAAAGATAAAAATTTTATTTATTTTCTCTAACAAGCATTAAAATTCAGAAACCTTGTTTTCTATTTTATCATCATGTAGTTGCAATAGGAAAGAAATTCCCAATTTTCTATTTAGGCTTCAAATAACTCAAAACATTACACATAAATCAAAAATGTAGAAATAAGAAATAAAATTTATTCAAACATTTCTTGCTGATTATTTAAGCGTTACACTTGAACAGAAAAATTCCTCACGCTTAAAGGCCAATAATGTGCTGTGTATATAAAATTTAAACATTAACTATGGTATAAAAATGTTAAGGAAAAAATTTTAGGTTGTTAGGTTTCTAAGAATTAAATTCGAATAGGGAGAAAAATATTTCAATAATATAAGTGAAAAACTAGGGTCCTAAAATTATTTAAATTTTCTAGGGGCACCAAAAAAAGAGAATATTTAAAGGGTCCCTGCATACTATTGGCGGTACCACAGTTTACTAGTACAAACTCGCAAAAAGTTTAAGCGTTTTGATAAACTATATTATGTATTCTTAAATATTTGGAGGGTGGGCGTAGTTGGTTTGGGTATATATCCCCCTTTATAATTAGAAATCTCTTAAGATCCTACCTTAATATCTCAAACAAAAAGAAGAAGAGAAATTAACAAAGAAAATAAAGAATCAATAAGTTTTATTTATTGCGATTAAGCTGCAAGTACATAGAACTCATAAGATATAAAAAGGAAAAACATTTCTTTAAAAAAAATTATAAAAAATAATTCAAAAATATTTAAATCTCTTTAATTAAAAAATTTAAAAATCCAGAAAACAAAATAAAGAATAGATATAATTTCGTCGTCTGCTTCCAGAATTATATCCGCAAATTCGAGTGCTTTCTAATGCTGTATTAATATATCCAAAGCAGAATGTTTCCAATCTCTCTATTGCATTGATTTATTTTGCTTTGACTTTATTAATACAGTATTAGAAAGCACTCTAATTTGCGAGTATAATGGTGTGAGCTGACGACTAGATTATATTTTTTCTTTATTTTTTTTTAAAAATAAATGTTTTTCTTTTTTATTTATTTCCCTGTTTTCGTTGTATTTTTTATACTTTACGCTACGTATGAATAAAGCAAAACAAAGTGAACAAAGCACAAATAAAATTTCTGTGTTTTTATTTGTGCTTTATGTTGTTTTTCTTTCATATTCTAAAGCATTTCAATTTTGTCCCCCTCAGGCGGCTGCGACAAGCATGATTTTGTTTAAGGGATTAAGAATATGAAGCAAAATACATCCTTCATGGCCGGGAATCAATGAACTAACTATTCTGCCGTGTAATTGAAAAATTAGCGACTAACATTTCGAGATTTTCATATATTTGCCATCTTTGTAGGGCAAGGTACATTATTGCAAAATAAAAAAAATTTCAAAAATAAATTTTGTTTTATTAGTTTTTAGAAGCTCTATTTTAGTGTTCGAAGCATTAGCAATAAAAAGAAAAGAGTTGTCAAGCCACTTTTATCGAAATCAATCAAGAAGCTCTTACGTTGTTTTTCTTTTCTTTTTTTTTCTCAATTGCATTGTAAGATTGCCCAGTTATATAAAAAATCGAGTATCAATCGGGATCCCCGATTCATGTCCCCGAATATAATGTCAATTTATAAAAGTTTAAATTTGGATGCAAGATTTTTTTTTCTATTGATGCAAAAATAAACTTCGGTACAAATTCGAGATAGAAGATTTCGAAGGGTGAAGATAAAAGTGATTAAAAGCTAAGTTTTATTTCAAGAATAGTGAAAAGCGATTGAATATAATTGAAAATAAAATTCATTATGCATTTTACTAAACAAACAATATTACTTCAAATGATGCGACAATTTTTTAAAATATACATTTTTCACAAACTGCATAAGAAACTGCATGCTTTAATTTCTGTATCCTATGACTTGAAATTGTTTTTTTAAACACTGATCTTTATTGCGATATCATTTTTTGCTATCTACTGTTGACAGAGCGAAAAAAATAGATTACTCAGATTGATTCTGATTACAGGTTAGAGATTTTTCGAATTGATCCATTAATTGAAATGCCTTTCAATCTAAATAACTTAAAATTTGTGTCAGTAAATCAGAATAAGAAGAACAATATTTTTATAATACCGTTGAAATATTCAAGATATATTTCATATATTATTTATTTTCATATCCGAGAATCTCTCACTCTTTTGATCAAAAAAAGGTTCAAATGAGAGGAATTATGCCCTTGTTTTCGAACAATTATCAATTTCACACTTCTCATTGAAACACCTATTTATTAATGGGAGAAAAACAATTAAATAATTATAAAAAATTTTATAAAAAAAAAAGTTTAATCTTTTTGATATGAATGAATCCGTAAGAATACAAATATTTACTCAAAATCATCCTTTACAATGATAAACACAAACAGAAACTCATCAATGGAAACAACTTTTCTGAGCATCCGTGGAGAAAATGCATCAAAATTCATTTTAACGTATTTAATTATTAGCTTGTATTTCATTTAATTATTTAATTATTTATTTATTTTGCATAAATTTATTACTCAAAAGCAAAGAAAAATTGCTTTTAACACGTATTCATGAACAATGGCAGAAAATAAAACTATGATTCATATCATAACGCCCACAACAATCTCTTTTCACGTCTTTGAAATTTGCGAAAGAAATAGGTCATTGTCAAAGCTCCCTTCCTGTAATTAATCTTTAATAGAAAACTACGCTTTATAAAATGAACGATGATGTGATGAATACGCTAGTAAAATATGTTTTAATAACATGACATTATTAATAAAACTATTTCACAAGGAGTCGAAAAAATAACTTGATCAAAGTTTAAAACTACATTACAGTAGCATCACATTACAAAACTATATTAGCTACATTAGTTCTGAATAAAAAATAAAAATTCTAATCGGAAAGCAAAAATGCAAACTCAACTCGAAAAATTTCATTAGTAAAAAAGAAATTTAAAAAAAACTTAACGCGGTAGTAAACAGGTTTCAATTATTTAAATTTGTTTTCGGGTTGAAATTCGATAACATATTTAAGACTTCAAATATAAAAAATTTGAATTGAAAAATAATTTCTTGCTAATGACAATAAATATCGAAAGGAGAGAAGGGAGACGTCGCACACATCCCCATCACTCAAACGAAATTAAGGAAGAGGAAGGAAAACGCTATGGTAGAAAGCAGACGAAGATTCGAAAAACTCTCGATATTAGTTAATACAAATATTAACATCGAACTTCCTAATTAAAGTCATGCGCAAAAAAAATTTAATAAAAGAAGAATGTTTGGCTTTGGATCTGCCCGGGTGAAAAAAAAAGACGGGGGAAATGCATATCTTTATTAACTTAAAAAAAAGAAAAAAATCTGAAAACAATTAGAAATTTTTAAAAAGATGAAACTTCTTTATTTTTACCTTCAGTCATAAGAGTACGTGTTTTTAAAAAAGTATCTTTGAGATAAGTTTTTATTTTACATCGAAAAATTCAAAAATCTGTCGATTTAACCACTCTA